CAGGAGTTGCATGGGATTACATTAGTCCCAAAAGTCCAGGAGGGGTAGAGGAACAATGATCTGTCTTTAGAGCTACTTCCTGTTGACATGGGGCGATATCTCAAGCCGCTGTCCCCTGGATGGGGAGCTGAGTTTATCCCTGTAGCAGCATTTGGTTGACCATCTGATTGTTAAAAGCATATTTTGTATGATACTAATGTAGCTATTGCCTCTTTTTTTAAAGGTTTATTTATTTATTTGAAAGTCAGAGTTAGAGAAAGAGGGAGAGACAGGGAAAGAGAGACATCTTCCGTCCTCTGGTTCACTCCCCAGATGGCCCCAATGGGCGGCCAAAGCTGGGAGACTGGAGTTTCATCTGGTCTCCCAAGTAAGAGACACATGGGCTATCTTTCTATTGCTTTTCTTGGGCTATTAACTGGGACATGAAATGGTGCCCATGTCGGGTTTCATCATGGCAGGAGGAGGCTTTACCTGCTATGCTACAATGCCAGCCCAGCAGCTTTCTGTTTTAATGTTTGTGTGCAGCATATCCCCCTTAATCTATTTGCTTCTTTATAAAGTGTTTTTGCTGCAGACAGCATATGCTTTATCATCATCGAGTCTAACAATCTTTGCTTTCTTTTTTATATATTTATTTATTTATTTACTTATTTATTTGAAAGGCAGAGTTACAGAGAAGCAGAGGTGGGGGGGGGGGAGGTCTTCCATCCGCTGGTTCACTCCCCAGATGGCCACAACGGCCAGAGCTGTGCTGATCCAAAGCCAGGAGCCAGGAGCCTCTTTTGGGTCTCCCATATGGGTACAGAGGGGCCCAAGGGCTTGGGCCACTTCCACTGCTTTCCCAGGCCATAGCAGAGAGCTGGATCAGAAGAGGAGCAACCGGGACTAGACCTGGCACCCACATGGGATGCTGGAACTTCAGGCCAGGACTCTAACCCACTGTACCACAGCGCCAGCCCCCAATCTTTGCTTTCAAAAGTATTAAAGTGGGGCTGGCGCCATGGCTCACTTGGCTAATCCTCCACCTGCGGCACCGGCATCCCATATGGGTGCCAGGTTCTAGTCCTGGTTGCTCCTCTTCCAGTCCAGCTCTCTGCTGAGGCCTGGGAGGGCAGTGGAGGATGGCCCAAGTTCTTGGGCCCCTTCACCCTCATGGGTGAGCAGGAAGAAGCACCTGGCTCCTGGCTTTGGATCAGCGCAGCACCAGTTGTAGCAGCCATTTGGTGGGTGAACCAACAGAAGAAGACCTTTCTCTCAGTCTCTCTCACTGTCTATAACTCTACCTGTCAAATAAAAAAAAAGTATTAAGGCCATTTACATTATGTGATTACCCATATTATGGGGCTAAACAATAACATTGGTATTTGTTTTTGTTTATTCTTTCTGGTTTTTTTTTTTTTTTGTACTTTTCTTCAATTAACCTTCTACCATAGGCTGCCCCAGGTTTCTATGTTGGCCAGGTATTTTTGCCTTTAATGGCTCCTCCAGAGCCCATTGTTCTGATGTTTCACAGCGTACTGCCCTATTAGCTATTGTTTGGTTCTCTCGGTGATTTTACTATTCCAGATAATGCTGCACTGAACATCTTATATTCATCACTTTCTCCTCATGTATTATTTCATTAGAGTGTATTTCCAAGTAAGAAATGACTGATTTAAGGGGTAAAAACATCTTTCAAATTCTTGATACAATTTGTTACATTGCATTTCCCCAAAGAATTATTTCAATTCACAAGATTAATAGCAATCCCTACCTGTAGAGATTTCACGGCAGTCTTGCCTGCATCGTGACTGCCATTTTTAACACCATCAAAAACTGTGTATAAAAGAGAACTGAAAGTCTACCAGCATTATGATCACCAGTGCCACTGCTGTGCGTACACACACAACAAAGAGAAGGCTGTTTACGAATAAGCTCATTTCACATACAAGCTGAACTAAAATTCCAAATTGCTTTGCTTCTATTTTGCACATACTTGGGCTCTAGCAATAATTCCTCATAAATGACTCTTAGGAAAGAATATATCTATGACATAATATGTGAAGTAACATATACATTTTATTTCAATTTAATAAAGCTGTAACTCACTGATACAATCAAAACAGGTTTATAGAATCAGAGGGAACATGAGGAAAAGAGGTCCAATTGAAAATATGCCTAAAAAACAGAGTGAAGGCATATTTCTTTGGTACATTTGGAGCTTTTTATAAGTAATCTCAAGAGTGGCGGCATCACTGAATGAGGAGGAAGTTTCCCCTGGAGGGTGATAGTCTTGAGGCGCAGAGGAAGGAATTCTTATACTGCTTCTCGTTTTGTGGAGGGGAAAATCAGGCTGCTGCAGAGAAATGATTTACTTAAGGTCACATGGTTGACATAGAGCAGAGCAGTGACTGAAACTTAACTCTTTTGCTATTTACCCAGGACCTGTCCCCCACATTTAAGACTTACTTTCAACAGCTCAAATATGAAATTAAAATAGTTAAATTGTTAATTTTATTAAATTAAAATTAAATTTTATTAAATTAATAAAATTAGAATATAAATATACAACAATAATATTATTATTATATTATATTTATGTTATAATCCTGATCTCTTACGGAGGTATGACAAAAGCTAATGAAAATGACTACTTTGAAGATGAAAACTTCCAAAGAGTTAGGCCAAGAGAATTGTATTACAACGGCATGCTCTAAAATGTCATAATTGCATGATCAAAAGTGCTATAAAAACTTAGTAAAATGTAATTCATTAATTTATTTGAGAGACAGAGGGAAGAGAGACAGACAGAGACAGAGAGCTCCTATCTGCTGGTTGACTCCCCCAAATACCCACAACTACTGGGCCTGGGCTGGAACAAAGCTGGAGACTTGAGAGTTCAATATAGCTCTCCCATGTGGGTAACAGGGGCCCCACTACTTGAGCCACTATGGCCGTCTCCCAGAGCTTCAATTGGCAAGACGCTGGAACTGGGAATGGAGCTGGTACTGAGCCCAGGTGCTCTGGTCTAGGGTGCAGGCATCTCCACTGGGGTCTTAACTGCCGGGCTGAATCTGTACACCCCACAACCTGTTTTCTTGACACTGTAGTTTTATGATCTGGATATGGGAGTCCAGAGTCACAGAAAAAAAAAAAAAAAGCAGAATCCGGGATAATAGTAAAGATGTCATTCATCACCAGCATCCCTCAGGGTCTTCAAAATACACTACAATTCAGTCTTTTAGATAAAAAAGTGATGTTATGAAATTTCCTTATAAAAGTTAAGAACAAGGAATCAGCTTCAAGTAAACAAACCTTCCTTTGGGAGGAGGGCTATTTTTTTCCCTAAAACCATATCTAAAGTCTTTATTCAATTTAGGAAAACTATTAACCAAAATGCTACTAAAAGTACAAAATTTTTAGCATGCTATCCTTCAGTTAAATAAATATAAACTGTGTTTTGAGGCATGTTGTGCCCAGACATGATCTCTAAATTTATATCATCATATTTTTTAAAGATTTATTTATTTATTTGAAAGTCAGAGTTGCACAGAGAGAAGAGAGAGAGGAAGAGAGAGAGAGAGAGAGAGAGAGAGAGAGAGAGAATCTTCCATCTGATGGTTCACTCTCCAGTTGGCTGCAATGGCCAGAGCTGCGCTGATCGGAAGCCAGGAGCCAGAATCTTCCTCCAGGTCTCCCACGTGGGTGCAGGGGCCCAGGGACTTGGGCCATCTTCTACTGCTTCCCCAGGCCACAGCAGAGAGCGGGATTAGAAGAGGAGCAGCCAGGACTAGAACCGGCGCCCATATGGGATGCCAGCGCTTCAGGCCACAGCGCCGGCCCCCCATCATATTGTTTTGAGAAGCTGTACACTTATTCATACTTGCAGTCATTCTCTATGCTATTGTAAAATAAGCCTGAATGTGGATAAAGCTAGAAACAAGAGTGTGAGTCATATCCATTATAATGTTATCATTTTCTTCCAAAAATGATGTTAAAACATTTTAAATATATTATAAATAAATTAATTAATTAATTAAAATCTGGTCCAAAACATGAGATATTTTGTAAAGACCTGAGATGACTCTTTTTCTTTGTAGAAGGTTTGTTTATCTGAAAGACAGTGTTACAGAGAGAGAGGGAGACACACTCACACATGTACACAGACAGAAAGAGAGGGAGAGAGGTATCTTCCATCCCCTTCTTTACTTCCCAAATGGCTGTAATGGCCAGGGGTCTGGGGCAGGCCAGGAGCCTGTAACTAATATGAGTCTCCCACATGGGTGGCAAGGACCCAAGCACTTGGGCCATCTTCCACTGCTTTCTCAGGAGCATTGACAGGGAGCTGGCTTGAAAGTGGAGCAGCCAGGACTTGAACTGGCATCCAATGCCAGCGTAAACTGCAGCTTAGCCATCAATGCCAGCACCTTGAGGTGACTCTATGACCACACAGAAGCAAATAAGGCCATCTCTTCCTTGTGCCTCCTGTGTAATGTTTCAGTTCCTTATGCCGGTATAGTAAGAAGAATCTTTTTCTATCTTATCAGCTGAAGCAGTCAACCTGATTAAACCAGCTGAAGGTAGATTTCTCTAACATCTCTGCATCTGAGAGTTTGTGTTTCTTTTTCTTTTCTTTAAGATTTATTTATTTGAAAGGGAGAGTTAACAGAGAGACAGAGGCAGAGAGAGAAAGATCTTCCATGGGCTGGTTCACTCCCAAAATGGTCGTGGCAGCTGGAGCTGGGTGGATCCAAAGCCAGGAGCCAGGAGTTTCTTTGGGTCTCCCACGTGGGTGCAGGGGCCCACGCACTTGGGCCATCTTCTACTGCTTTCCCAGGCCATAGCAGAGAGCTGGGTTGGAAGTGGAGCAGCCAGGACTTGAACAGGTGCCTATATGGGATGCTGGCACTAAAGGTGACAGGTTGACCTGCTATGCCACAGCACCAGCTTCAGTTTGTGTTTCTTGAAACAAAATGATATAGGAGAAAGAAAACTCGAGTGATCTTTGACTTACTCCCCAGGAGGTGTTTGGTTACCGTACCCAGCGTCTACGGCGAGCACTCTGCCTCCTCACATCTGTGCTGACCTGTGGGCTCCTTCAGCTGGTGTTCTACTGGAGGCCACAGTGGGGAGTATGGGCCAGCTGCCTCCAGTGCCCCTTGCAAGAAGCAGACACTGTTTTGCTGAGAACAACCGTATGTACCATGCTTACCTTTGTCAATTGTCATGATCCTGCTCTTTGCACCGCTTCTGTTAAACAGCCAGTGATTGACCAGCTTTCCAGGGAGTGGATCTTCCTTAGCTAAAGAGCTTCCCTAGGCCGAGACAGGAGATGGCCAAACTATTTCTCCACTGTGCAGTCTTTCCTTTTGACCCAGGAATGAAGGGCACTTTCTCCAATCCAGCAGCAGAAATTCCTGTCATATCAAGCTAATGAGCTGAGCTCTTAGCTATTACATGGTTAGTGACAGTGTTAGGACCCAAAATATGAGGATCATCAATTCTCCTCCCCCTACACCCTACCCCAAGTTTCTGATTCAGTAGATCTGAGATAGGACTAAGAATTTATCTTTTTGTAAGTTCTGAGATAATGCTGATTCTCTTGTTTGGAATGAAGTTTTGTCCCAAACTTTGAGAATCACTGGTCTAGTGCTTGGTAGGTAGTTGGTTGACCTGGCACCTTATTGACTAACAATTTAGAATTTCATGAACTTGTTTGCCTTTCCCAGGATGAATTTCAAAGGTATATGAGGAAGAAGGTTTTCTGCCTCTACTTATCCACACTGAAGTTTCCTATAAGCAAGAACCCAGAAGAACCCCTAGTGGCTGATCGCCACTCTGTCATAAACCAAGCTGTAATGAAGCCAGAATTAAAAGTAAGTAATTCTAAGAGTGACACTATGGCGTATTTTCAGGGAAAGAATAAAATAAATGTTACTGAATGAAAGGTCTCAACGTGACATTGTTGGGCTGGGAATAATGACAGTTATAAACTGAAGAAAGTAAGACCTGTGACAACCGGCATTCAACCGCATTCTCTTCTCTTGATGGGCTTTACCTTGTGAATGACACCTGTTCTATAACATTTGTGATTGCAGCTGCGATGCATTCAAGTGCAGAAACTCAGGTATGTTTGGGTCAACTTGGAGAAGAAATTTCAGAAAGTTGGGTGAGTATGACTTCTTCTTAGCACTACATCAAGACGTGGGGGAAGAACCCTGCCGTGAGCTGAAATGTGGTTTCTGTCCTGACCACACCCTAGATTGTTAGAAGACAGCAACTCCTGCTATGACATCCATCATACATTTGGATTGGGCCTGACCAGTGAAGAGCAAGAGGTCAGGTAGGATTTATAATAACCCCCGAGAGCCAGCTCTGCCAGCAGAAAATGAAGTCTCCAATGGGTCATCATCAGGGCGTTGTTGGCATAACGCTTCATCAACTTGACATAATCCCAGTTCATTTATTGGCAGCAGAAAGATAGTCTAAATTATTCTCCTCTTAGGCAAACTCATTAAAAAAGACCAAAAGAGTAAAGTAATTCAGTAAAACTTGATCTTTTCTCCTTGGCTTGGAGAACAGTCTTCTTTGTGTTATCATTTTCATTCTTTCCTCAGATACTTTCAAATAACTCCGTAAACATCAGCTTCTTAATACTCCAGATCTTCAGAGAGCCAGAGAAACAATAGTGTGATTGCATTATATTGTGAACGGAGGATGAGGTTGTTTGTTCAGCTAGTTGTGTTATTTATTTTTGTGTCTGCAACACCAAGAGGAGATCCTGATTAATGGATCTACAAAGATAGTTGCAGAATAAATAAAATGCATTCATTGATTTATTAACTAAATACCTGTAATGTGCCAGGTACTTTGCAAGGAAGTAGGGATCCAAAAATAAAGATTTAATTATTGTCTAGGAGACTTAAACTGAATAGTGAGAGAGGCAAAACTAGTGTCATGCAGGAGACCGTACCTATAGACGCGTACAGATTGGGAAATGCTTACGCAGCTTAGTAATTCACAGTGATACATGGTCCTTGCTTCCTTCAATGGCTTTTAGAAATGGCAGATGCTGGTGCATCTGAAAGGGAAGCATTACAAGTCTTCCTCAGAATCTTAACAGTCACCTCTATTTTCTCACTTTTTTTTAAAAAAATATTTATTTATTTGTTTGAAAGTCAGAGTTAGAGAGAGAGAGAGAGAGGAGAGAGGGACAGAGACAGAGAGAGATGTCCCATTTGACAGTTTACTCCCCAGATGGCTACAAAGGCAGGGGCTGGGCCAGGCTGAAGCCAGGAGGCAGAAGCATCTTCCAGGTCTCCCATGCAGGAGGGACCCAAACATTTGGGCCACCTTCCACTGTTTTCCCAGGTGCATTAGTGGGGATTCTGAGCAGGATCAGAAGTGGAACAGAGAACATGAACTAGAGGTGGCTTTACCCTCTACACCACAATGCCCTCTCCTCTCACATTTTTTTTTAGAGACATTACCTGCCTAACCTTTTTGGCTGTCAGCCAGAAACACCAACTCTTAAGAAGAAATCTGGTACTTAATATACAGGTTTTGGGCTCCTTTCTTTTAGTCCTGATAATTCGGTAGGAGCAAAGGTTTTTTATTGGGGTGAGAGAATGGAGGAATTCTGCATTGTTAGCTAGCAACCCTATAATTCTTACACACACTGAATATAAGAATTCCTGATTTGTTGTTTTTAAAATTTCTCTCTTCCAAAAAGACACTTATGCTTGGAAAATATTGCAAAAGGCCATAGAAATTGTATAACTATACAAGATTTCAGATGCAATGCTTAATACATGGAAATACAAAGTTTTCAAAGTCATTAAAAACACACTGGTTTAATAGCACAAAATGTTTAAATGATTGATTTGATACATTTAAGAATTCTTGTTGATAGATGTAGATATATTGTGCTAGGAAACCATTTCTGCAGCGAAGATTTCCCATCCGTGTAGCTACTTCATGTTTGTCCTTATTTATCAATTGTCAAGCTTTAATAAACACCATACATAATTAAATTTAAATCTGGTCCACACAGTGAAGAACACGACAATCTAATAAGCAAGAGAAAGAGTATCCTTTCCCAAATGTGAGGAATAGGGGAGTATTTCTAATATTTATAAACAGGCATATTTTATTCTATAGCTATGTCTATTTGGAAAGTAAAAGAGAGTAAGTAGAATACGGAGCATTTGTTTCCATTGGCAAAACAGGCTATCAACCCTGTCTTTTGGATTATTGTGAGAATCAAATGAATTTTTGTAAGAACTTTGTGAATTGTAATATGTTACACAGATATGAGAGCTTCTGATTGTATTGTTTATGTGCATTACCCCTTGTGAGTAATGTATGCAAGAGATCTCCAAAAAGCTCATGGAAATATGTTTTGTTTAAAGATATGTATGAATTTTGAAATTTAGGATCATCAAAAAAACTTATCTTTTAATTCTATTTTTTTTAAAGATTTATTTATTTTTTGAAAGGCAGAGTGACAGAGAGTCAGAGTCAGAGAGAGAGAGAGAGATAGAGAGAGAGAGAGGTCTTCCATCTGCTGGTTCACTCCCCAGATGGCCTCAGATCTGAAGCCAGGAGCCAGGAGCTTCTCCTGGGTTACCTATACGGGTGCAGGGGCCCAAGGACTTCGGCCACCTTCTACTGCTTTCCCAGGTCATGGCAGAGAGCTGGATTGGGAGTGGAGCAGCCAGGACTTGAACCGGTGCCCATATGGGAGGCTGGCACTGCAGGCGTTGGCTATACCCAGTACATCACAGCGCTGGCCCTTACTTCTATTTTCCACAGACTTTTTGAAGTGTGCTGTTACATTTACAAGGTGATGAAGGTCATATATTATTTTTCACTTCATTTGGAGTCATTCATTTATACATTCATTCAGTTCAGTGCTGAGAGCCTGTCCTGGGTGCTGGAGATACCAAGGTAAATCAACGTGATTTCAACATCAAGGGCAATGAAGAATACCTGACAATATGAAGAAAATATTCATTTATGTGTTTTTAGTGCTCTTAAGATATAATCAGATTTTTTTCATGATTTATTTCTTTATTTGAGAAGCAGAGTTACAGAGAGATTGAGGGAGAAACAAAGAGAGGTCTTCTATCTGGTTTACTCCCCAAATGGTCGCAGTGGCTGGATCTGGGCCAATCAGAAGCCACAAGCCAGAAGCTTCTTCCGGGTCTCCTACATGGGTTCAGGGGCCCAACACTTGGGCCATCTTCCACTGTTTTCCCAGGCCGGTAACAGGAAGCTGAACTGGAAGTGAAGCCTCCAGGACTTGAAACAGCACCCATATGGGATGCCAGTGCCACAGGTGGAGGCTTAGCCTGCTAGGCCTCAGTCAGTCAGATTATTTTTCAACAAATAACTCACAATATTGGTATAACTTCATTTTGATTCCTTGGGTAGTAACAAAGGCAATTTTTTTATACCAGAAAAACAACTTTATCCATCATGCTCTGACTTTCATTATAAAAGTATGTGAGTATTTTAGGAATATGTACTTACACATTATTTTTTATTTTAAGCCACAAAAATCTCTAAAGAGCATAGAAGTGAGTGGTGGTTAGTCAGGTCTGAACTCACTATCAGTGAGCTTTTAGGGGAGACACTAACGGATATTCAATCTCCTGCAGGAGATTAGTGTGTGGACCCAACACCATTGAAGTGGAAATCCAACCCATATGGAAACTGCTTGTTAAACAGGTAACTAACTCGTTTTTTTTGAAGAGTTATTATGTGTCCATTACTTTTTCCTTTAGGCACTCAGGAGAATTTTAAGGAGAACAAGAATGTTTTGATGTAAAAAAAATTTGTGTTGCAAATTTTATCTATACTTATCCTATCTATTGAGGGTAAATAAATTGAAAAAAATATTTATATACACGTTTCTTCTAGGATTTATAACTGGTCCTTTTCAACAATTAATTATTTTCAGTTGAAATCCATTTTAAAAGTTCCTTCCCAGTATGAGGGACAGATTTCTGTTTCTAAAATCTGTTTATTTGATTGGTTAGGTTTTTCAAGTTTTTCATGGTGGTTGTAGTGGTGGTGGTGCTGTGGTGTCTTAGCTCGGACTGCTATAAGTATTACAGACTGGTTTCTTTGATCAACATCTTTCTCATGGTTTTGGAGACATCCATGCTCAAGGTGTCTGCGTGCTCAGTTCCCATGGACGGTCCTCCTGCTCGCTTGCAGATCACCAGCTTCTCACTGTGTCTTCACATGAGGAACAGAGAGAACTTGTGCTGGCCTTTGTCCTCCTACAGGGATGCTAACCCCATAGTGGAGGCCCTACTCTTAGGGTCGAATCTCAACTTAATTACCTTCCAAAAGCCCCACCTCTAAGAGCATCCCAAGATGGGACAGGGCTTTGTTATAGGGATTTTGGGGAATGTATACATTGAGTCCGTAGCATGTGGGCAAGGTGTGCCTTCTGTAATTTCTGAGGATTTGCAGCATACTGCTTTTGGTCTTTTTCGAATTGCTCTATTACTTCCATTTCTTGAGAATGACGTCTCCATTTGTTAGTGGCTTTGTTTGCTATTACCTTATTTTTCTTTTGTGCTTTGAATTCATTATTATTTCACTGTGAGGTATCTTTTCCCCACCATTTTCCTTCTCCTCTGTGCTTGCCTTTGCTGTTTTAAATTTTACTTTTTGGTGTAGTTTTTGGTTCATGGTAAAATTGAGCAGGAGGTACAAAGATGTCCCGTATACTTGGTGTCCCCACATGCATATAGCCTCCAGAAGTATCAAAAAGCAAGTTATTTTTTAAACTTATTTTTTTTTTGACAGGCAGAGTTAGACAGTAAGAGAGAGAGAGACAAAAGTCTTCCTTTTCCATTGGTTCACCCCCACAAATGGCCACTATGGCCAGAGCTACGCCGATCCAAAGCCAGGAGCCAGGTGCTTCCTCCTGGCCTCCCATGCGGGTGCAGGACCCAAGCAGTTGGGCCATCCTCCACTGCCTTCCCGGGCCATAGCAGAGAGCTGGACTGGAAGAGGAGCAACTGGGACAGAATCTGGCACCCCAACAGGGACTAAAACCTGGGGTGCCGGTGCCGCAGGCAGAAGATTAGCCTAGTGAGCTGCGGCGCCGGCCCTTTTAAACTTCTTAATCAAGTACATTTTCTAATAGCCAAAGACTCTCCCCAGTGTCAGTTTGGTCTCTTAGGAAAGCAGTTAGTATTTTCTGGCACGTATTTATTAGACCTTTATTAGAAAATACGCAAGTAAGACTTTCTTCACATCTGGTTTCAAAAGAATACTGAATAAGGGACAAATTAATTATGATGGTGCTTCATCTCCAAGAACTATTTAACCAATTTTCTGCTGGATTTGTATAAACTCAAAATCATATTATCATTAGTGCATAATCTACAATTAGAGCACTATGTACCAAGCAAACATAATAGCTATAATTTGTAAGTAAAACACTTGGGATGGAGATAATAAGAAACATTAAGGAACAAAAGCTTTTTAGTGAACAAAATATATCTAAGGGTTTAAGAAACCCTTGAGATACAACCAATTAACTCATTAACAGATGCTGGTTCATTTTTAGGATTAAGAGAGAAATTAATTATAGACAGTTGAGGTAAGAAAGAGTACCACTGGTTGGGTCATTATTTCATCTAAATTATAGTAACCACCAAGAGCTGTTCCTCAAGAAGAGAAATCTTGCTTTGTTCTGCTCACTGTGTGTGTATCATCCGACATCTCTCCAGCTCCTCAAATCTGTCCTCTGTACTTTAATCATTAATAGAAATGTCAACCTAACCAAAATAGGAAAATTGTGGGAATTAAAAAAAAAATGTGGAGTTACCCAAAACCTCTGGTATTTAGTATGAGATCAAAAATGTGCATGCATGGATGACTGGTTTTGGACCTGGTGACACCGTCTGTCCATGACTTGTCCCGGAAGCCTTGGGTAAGACCTTCTCTTCAGGATCCCTCCTGAAGGGAAAGGCTATGCTAAGTCAACCAACCCTTAGAAGGTGTTGCTATGACCTGTGACCTAAAGAATATGTTATTTTAAATGGCCCAAGTGAAAGTAAAATCTCTCATCTTCACTGGACAACTTTATTAAACCTGCCCCATGTGATTATATGAAAAATAAACCTGCAATAAAAATGTTCCAAATGGAAGTTCATTTTTTAAAAAAGACTGAAGCATGTTTGTCTTCCATTATATATTTGTTTAAGTTGGTAAATTTTGGATTTTGTATCGGGTAAAATATATTTGAAAATCCCAAATAAATAATTGAATTATTGAATTGTGAGCATGGCTCTTTATAATTAAAATAATTTTGCTTCCACTGTATCAGTATCTATGTGCTTAACATTATCCCTACCCAGATTAATGGAGTTCTATGTGAATTCTTAAATAATGACGTTACCTTATGTTGTGGAAAATGGAAACAAATTCTATAAAAAGATGACCTTTTCTTGAATGTTTTTGTACCTGCAGGTTTTAAATCCATTCTATGTGTTTCAAGCTTTCACACTCACGTTGTGGCTATCTCAAGGTTACATAGAATACTCTGTGGCCATCATCATCTTGACTGTTATGTCCATTGTCTTGAGTGTATATGATTTGCGACAGGTAAGAGTTGATATCTCATTTGGATTTTTTAAGTTGGATTCTATTTAGCATCTTGCTAAGGAAGGAAAGCCTATGGAATTTCCATTGAGAGCAAGGAGTTGCTTTGTCAAACGTAAGTCATCAAAAAACGAAATGCAAGGGCTTACCAAACATGGCATCTTGGGAGAAGGGCATTAGAAAGGCCAACTCTGATTATCAATGGAAGTCTTCATGAATGCTGTCTTCAGACGGACTCTGAGAGTCAAGGACAACGGTGCCCTTGACTTAAATACTGCATTTATTCTCCACATTTCGCATACAATGCTTGTGACAAATTTCAGTCTCTCTCTTAAAATTCCTTCATAATGTCCATTTACACAATTGGAATTCTAGCATATCTTTCTTTTTTGTTTTATTCTTTCGACAGGCAGAGTGGACAGTGAGAGAGAGAGACAGAGAGAAAGGTCTTCCTTTGCCATTGGTTCACCCTCCAATGGCCGCCGCGGCCGGCGCGCTGCGCTGATCTGATGGCAGGAGCCAGGAGCCAGGTGCTTTTCCTGGTCTCCCATGGGGTGCAGGGCCCAAGCACCTGGGCCATCCTCCACTGCACTCCCTGGCCACAGCAGAGAGCTGGCCTGGAAGAGGGGCAACCGGGACAGAATCCGGCGCCCCGACCGGGACTAGAACCTGGTGTGCCGGCGCCGCAAGGCGGAGGATTAGCCTAGTGAGCCACGGCGCCGGCCCCATATCTTTCTTTTTACAATTTATTAGCCTTTAAGAAACATTAAAATGTTTTTTGAATAATAACCACTGTATAAGTTTATGGAGTACAGTGCAATATTTCAATACACATACATCCTGTGTGTTGACCAGATCATGGGAATTAACATTTCTACCTCTTTGTCATTACTTTACTACTGGACCTTGGAGTTCATCTCTTTTTTTCTGGCTAAGAAAATATATAATAGATTATTGTGGACTATAATTACCCCACTGTGCTGTATAACACTAAGAACTAATTCCATCTATCTGACGCTGATCAGGTATATATTCCTTTCTTTAAGGGAACCCAAAAGAAACAGGAATTCTTGCTTGGAATGTAGGAGAAGCATTGTAGGGGAAAAACAGGTTTGATTCTACATACTCTGTAGGACAATGTTTCAGGGGGAAAATTATCTGACATTCCTGAGCTTCCAGCCTATGGAATCAAACTCTCCTTAGTGATAGTAAGAATCTGCCATTTTGAGAAATTTTATAGCAGGTGATCATTGCATTCCAAATACCTAAAAGTTACTGTCATAAGGGAAACCACCAAAGAAGTCCAAACACCACCACCCAAATACATGTGTGTATTTATTAATTTCATCATCAGCTGAATATATTTTCTCATCCTTTTTACTCTGTTAAGTGCACATACATATACAAATTTCTATAGAGATTTGATTACTTTTTAAATTAAAATGAGGTCTTACCATGCACATTAACCTGGCACTTCCATTTTCCACATTACTATATATAGGTAATGGCAATCTAGCAAGTAAATGAACAATTCCAAATCATGCTTAAAAATAAAGCTACGATCATCCATGTTATATCATAATTTATTCAACCATTCTGTTATTTGTGAGAAATAAGGTTATTTCTCAAAATTTTTGCCAACACAAATATTGAATTAAACTTTACTACAGTATAGGTATATTCTTACATATGAGTGTTTTTTTAAAAGTTTTATTTATTTGTTTGAAAGACAGAGTGTTGAAGAGAGAGAGAGAGAGAGCTTCCATGCACTGGTTCACTCCCTATATGACAGCAACTGGGCCAGGCTGAAGCCAGGAGCCAGGAATCTATCCAGATGTCCCACATGGGTGGCAGAGACTCAGGTACTTGGGTCATCTTCCCCTGCTTTCCCAAGCATATTAGCAAGGAGCTGGTTTGGAAGCAGAGCAGCCAGGCCTTGAACCAGCACCCTAGTATGTGATGCCCATGTTGCAAGCAACAGCTTAACATGCTGCACCACAACCCCAGCCCCTGCATTTAGCATAGCAATAAAAAGCCCGGATACTGAATTAAAGGATATGTGTAAATTGAGTTTTAATAGATGTTGCTGTAAGAGGAGTCTTCAAAAAGTTCATGGAAGATGTATATTATGAAAAAAATTTCATGAATTTCAAAATGTTTGCACCAAAATAAACTTCTCTTTGATATTATTATATTATTATATTATTTTCTTGAAGTGAAATAATTCCTTCTCTCAGCAACATACAAAGCATCAATTTTCCCAGGTCCTGACCAGTATTGGCTATTATATACTAATACTTAAAAATGTTCAGCTTTGTGTGCTTTTACAAATTGATTTTTTAATTTACACTTCTCTGATTAACAGAGCAAGTATACACATTTGCTTTGTCTAATGGAGTTTTGCATTCTCCTCTTGTGTGAAGCTATCTCCTGTGTGGAAAAGTTCTTTTTCATTCTCCCTTTTCTTCACTGGACTTTGACTTTTGCCATACTTTAAAAATTATGTAGTGTCGAATATGGTTTTTTCCCCCTCTTTCTTTTTAATGACTTCTGAGTTTCCTGTTTTGTTTATGAACTTCTCCCATTCCTGAGTTAGGTAATCCCTGCTTTTTCCATTTATAATTTGTTTATTATTTATTTTTAAATCCTCATTGGAATTTAGACATTCGGGTTCTGCATCTTTAACAGATCCTTAATTTCCTTTGCTGAAAACAGGGGCTGACAAGGGAATTGCAGACTTGGTGGCAGCATTGCAAAGTCTTTCTTTGAAAAAATAAAAAGGAATTAGAGGACAAACACTAAATCCATTAACAGCTGGTATTTGTTAATCAAAGCTTATCTGACGCAACCTGGAAGGCATCTTGTAATAATACTGTACTCAAGGGGCCAGGTTCCTGAAACTGTCTTTCACTTTAGATCTCAAGTCCTTAACAATCACTACCTTTCAGAACTATACAGTTCACAATGGGTCCCCACATTCATGATTATGTGTGCGGGTTGGGGGAAATGGCAAACTGTAAAATGAAAAAGACACTATTGTTCTGTACTCCTGCCCAAGAGAGGGAAGCACCGGGCGGTCAGGGCGGCCAGGTGCCTTGCTCACACTCACTCAGAAACAGTGGCCCTGGGCGTCCTGACTCCAAGTCACATACTCCACTCTCCCAGGAGCACAATCTCAAAGTGACCTGTGAACTATGCAGCAACAGGGAGATTTGGGGACAGGGTTGGCAAGAATGAAAGAGGAGCCTCTATTGCCAGCTCCACATCATGCTACTAAGCCACTGCGAAGTAATTAAAGACTTAGCTAAACAAACATAAGCTTTTGAAAATTTAAGAGGAGAGGCATTTGCCGAAGTCCAATAAGCTATTTTCCTGCATCTACCCTTACAGTCTAAGCTACAAACACTCCTGCAGACTAGTTTAGAGCAGGTGTGTGCGCCAAGCTTGGCACTCAAGTACCTACAGTGCACTGTGCTTGCATGCTGCATTGCTGGGCTCTGCCATGGGTGGCTGCTGGAAACAGCTCTGAGGGCTTTGCCTTCAGTCATAACTGAGCAGGCTCAAGAGGCCCCTGAGTTAAAGCCCTCATTACTCGATGGTGGAGGAAATCAACCACAGCAAACACAAGGAAGAGTAGCAACAGATGCTGAATAATAACAATATGCAGATTAGCCTTGGAAACTGATCCTGGTCCCACTGAACAGGAACTGCAGAAACCAGAGGGGGCCTGATGAAAATCAGGCAACGAGCTTCACAATCATAGCAAGCATCGCAGCGCTTGCCTTCTCCCGGCTGGTTAGTTGTCATAGAAACCTGTTTGTAGAGTTTCTGAGTGTGCATTAGCTCAGAGAGGATGCTTGTATTATCCCGCTCCAGCACTGTTGGCAGAAGCAGAATAATTCACTTCCATAAAACACCTATTTGCTGAGGATCTCCTATGTGAGAGACCCTGGTAGAACCAAAGAACTGCCCTGACAGCAAGGAGCTGCTTCGCCTGGCCATCGGTGCCCCAACACAGGTGGAGACACAGACAGTAGAATGATGCATGTTCCTGGGGATGGTGGGGATGTTAGGAGTGGAGGTGGCATTGGATCAGGGCTTTCTATGGAGGTTTAGAAAGCATCTGCTAGAAGCAAAGTGGGTTGGACACTCCAGGGAAGAGCACAAGCAGGTGCACGGAGCATGGCAGGTTACACAGAATGCTAAGTCTGTAACCCAGCCTTACAGTGTAGTGAGTTTGGAGAGTTGCAGTCAAGTATTATTAACTCCTACTTTCCCACTTACAAGTATGTTGGTTTTCCCCCTCTTGAGTTATGCTGAAGTTGTCATGGCATTGACTGAGAAGATTCACTAAGCAAAACAATAACTTCAGATACACTTGAAAGGAAAGAGATTTATCTCCTCACAGGAAGAGGTGCTGTTTTCAAACCCCATATGAACTTATTCATCATCAGAAAAGGCTTTAGCATCAGATGGACCTAAGTTTGATGATCAGTCTTAATATTTCATAAAGGATGGTGAGAAAGCTACTTTAACATTTCTAACTCCATTGTTTTTGTTTTTGTTTCTTATATGTTCACTGGCGATCATAGGATTGTTTTGAGTATTAAAAAGAAATCAGACAATATAGTTGAAGCACTTGGAACATAATAGGTACTTGATATTTTAAACTACTTAAACAATAATAATAATTTGATGGGGCTGGCATTGTGGCACAGAGGGTTAAAGCCCTGGCCTGAAGCACCAGCATCCCATATGTGCGCTGGTTCTAGTCCCAGCTGCTCCTCTTCCTAGCCAGCTCTCTGCTATGGCCTGGGAAAGTAGTAAAAGATGGCCTTGGGCCCCTGCACCCCATGGGAGACCCAGAGGAAGCCTCTGGCTCCTAGCTTCAGATCAGCGCAGCTCCAGCTGTTGCAGCCATCTGGGGAGTGAACCAACGATGGAAGACCTTTCTCTCTGTCTCTGCCTCTCTGTAACTCTGTCTTTCAAATAAATAAAATAAATCTTTAAAAATAATAATAATTTGAGGGATGGGCACTGTGGCCTAGCAGGTAAAGCCACTACCTTCAGTGCTGGCATCTCACATGGGTACTGGTTTAAGTCTCGGATGCTCTCAACTTCCAATCCAGCTCCCTGCTAACATACCTGGGAAAGAAGTGGAAGGTGGCTCAAGGAATTGGGCCTCTGCACTCATGTGAGAGACCCGGAAGAAGCTCCCAGCTCCTGGCTTCAACCTGGCCCTTCTCTGGCTGTAGTGGCCATTTTGGGGAGTGAAGCAGTGCATAGAAGACCTCTCCCTCTGCCTCTCCCTCTCATCTCTGTTTCTCCCTCTCTGTAACTCTGCCTTTCAAATAAATAAATAAGTCTTTTAATAATAATAATAATAATTTCAATCATGTATGTACTTTCTAGATTTCCTTGTAAGCTAGGCAGAAGTTAAAATGGCAGTGACTGAAGGAGTTTGCTAAGCAAGAAGATAACCTCAGAGACATTTAGGAGGAAGGATGTTCATCTCCTTAGAGAGACCCATGTGTGTGACTGGTTCATGCACAGGCCTGGTGGGCGTTTCAAAATCCTGCCTGACTCCAGGGTTCTAACTACAGAACTGCACCAACTTCCTAGCTGCTTCCATCATGGAAATGTGCAGCCCAGCAGTCCAGCCTCAAGGAGCCATGTGAGGGCAAATATGTAACCCACAGCTTCAGCACCTCTTCTTTTCAACTGGTCCAAATTAGTGACATTTAGCTTTTTGTGCCATGTGGAAGTAAAAATATATTTTTTCCTTTTGAATGTTAACATTGCATTCCTTATGTTCTCTTAAGGTGAAACTTACCTAATTGTGTGTGTAATGTTTGTTTTAGCTTAGTGACATCTATAACATTACAAATTATCAGCAGAATCGATCAAAATACTTTGACACTTAAAAAAGTCATATGTTTGAATTCGAGGAAGCCGCATTTAAGTACTGTTGATAACTCAAAGCCTCTTCTAGTTAGAGGATCTAAGTAGCTGGCATCCATACTCAAAGGGGAAGTGCTTCCCGGGCAGCACAGTCCTGCTCCAGTTGGCCTGGTACTAAGCTCTTTCAGGCTACTGGTGTCCTGTTGCTCAGTTTGGGGAGCTGGATGGATGAAATCCCCTCTGACCGCTGCCTTCCCATCCCATGCATTATCCTGGGAGACTCTGCCTCCAATTATCTGGTCTCCTTCTATTTCCTCCACTTTCCATGGAGTCCTAGCTCAATCATAGCTAATGTCTCAATATCAGGCAAAGTTTTCTGGTTGTTATAGTCTCACAACTGCTTCTCCAGCAGCAACTGTCTTTTATATATTATTATTATTAATCACTAACACTTAGGAGCTGTTAACTCTTTTTTTTACATAAAAGGCCTTATAAGAATGAACTGACTTAAAACTTAGCCCATCTCCCTCTTCAGATAAGAAAAAAAGTGGGTTAAAATGGCTAAATAGCACCGAAGCAGCATCACCGGGATTTAAAACAGAGCAGTGGGAGTCCAGTATGCCGATTTATCCAGCAGGAAAATCGGCTTCATAAAGGAAAGAATGGCTGCTCCATACGCCATCAAAGCAAAACCCTGATAGTCCCAGGCTCTTGCAAGTACAGCCTGGTACAGATCCCCTGCTGTTCCACAGACAGGGGGACAGAGGCACAGAGAGGGAAGTAAGCTGTCCACAATCTCATTGTTCTTCCTTCTGTTGATTGTGTATCTTGGAGAAGTGAAGCCTTGGTCCTTGGTATTGATCCTTGGGGCAATTGCTAACCTGGTTTTGCATGGGAGTAAAGTAGCATTAAACTCACAAAACATTGGATGCTGCCAGTAAGGGGTCTAGTGGAGGCAGTGGTTAGAGCAAGGAAGCCACAGCACCAAAAGTAGAACCTGAGTCCTTTGCCCAGAGTTGGTTTGGCTGTGACAGCAAGCTGCTCATGTTCTGTACTGAGATCATGGGGTTTTCAGGATATGCACTCTCTAATCCTTAAACTTGACTTTAAATTGGCAGCAATCAGTCAAGCTGCACAACCTTGTGGAGGAACACAACAAAGTCCAGGTTACAATCATGGTCAAAGACATAGGTAAGTGATATGTTCTGCTACCTTCACCAACCTACTCTTTCAGGGTAGATCGGTCTCGTTTTTCCTTGATTATTAATTAGCCAAGGAAGAAGGGCTTTTCTGATAGAACACAGGACTGGGAGTCAGTGAGACAAAGGAGGCATCAAAGATGTAAAATTTAAGGAGGCAAGGCCATGCAAATCCTGAGCCGGCATCTGCAGTGCCTGACAGTGAGTGCCTTGTTAGGTTTTATGTCCTAGGCCCCTAGCTTGCCTGCCTCTCATCCCAGCTCTGAACGATTCCTGCCCAGTGCCTGGGTCACTTCAAGTTACCACTGCCCTTCACATTTCATTCATTTGAATACGAATGGATAAACCTTTTTTAAGGACCTTTTATTTCCCCGACGGACCATCTGGAAGGACCCTCTATCATGTGTTTTGAACTGCCATCTGGAACCTGGGACTGGATGGGACTTCTGGATGCTGAATGTGCACTTGCCATTTGCTCTGAGCTAGCCTGAGGTGGGGTGGCCTTGGCTCTCTGCAGGGAGTGAGGAGTTGTACCCCATGGCAGTAGGTGCTTTTTGAACAACTTACCTAAGGCTCCAATCCAAGGAGACAGAGGGTGCCATGGGGGATCAAGATCCCTGCCAACAAAAGCACACGGGAGCCAATGAGCACTTTTCCTTTGACTAAAGCCCCTGAATACTCCCTGTGGTCAGAGCACTGGCTGCGTACTAAGATCCAGATGGGATTCTCTTACTGAGCTAATCTTTTGCCATGTCCTAAGAGCCAGTTTCCTAATCCTGGTTCTCCTGGAATTTTCAGTTGAGAGTAAGAGGCTTGAATAGGTGAACAGGCAAACTGTTTGCTCTTGGCAAACCGGTTAATGAGTATTCTTGGCCACCTTTATTCATTCTTAAGTGAAAACAGGACAAAAGAAAAGCCAGGTCCTCATGGACACTTTGCTGTTGTGCAGGTTTACAGGAGCTGGAATCACGTCTCCTGGTCCCCGGAGATATTCTTATTCTTCCAGGGAAGTTTTCGTTGCCGTGTGATGCTGTTCTGATTGAAGGGAGTTGTGTGGTGAACGAAGGCATGCTCACAGGTAAGCAGGTGTTCTGGAGCCTCTGCTTCCCTGTCCAGCATCTAGGCCAGGTGTTAGCGAATTAGCTCCACTTAGACTTACCTGCCTTCCAAGATGCTCGTAAATAGATGAGGGGAACCAGCCTTGTGGCACGGCAGGTTAAGCCGCAGCTTGAAACACAGGCATCCCATAGGGGCAGCGGTTTAAGTCCTGGCTGCTCTTCTGAGCCAACTCCCTCCTAATACACTTGAGAAAGCAGTGGATGATAGCCCAAATGCTTGGTCCCCTGCCACCCAGATGGGAGATCAGGATGGAACTGTGGCTCGTGGCTTCAACATGGTCTAGACCTGGCATTATGGCCACTTGGCAGGTGAACCAATGTTTGGCAGATCTCTCTCTCTCTCTCTCTCTCTCTCTCTCCCCATCCATGTTGCTCTGCCTTTCAAATATGTATGTGTGTGTGTGTGTGTATATATATATATATAAAGTAATAGATGAGACAGACACAGTCATCTCTGTCCTTCCAATGGAGACATGATTCACACAAGCAGGAAACATTTAACAATTTCTAAGTTAAGCCACAATAGATATAAAACTAGAATTGTTTCATACCAAAGGTGATTAATTGCCCTATGGGTGAGGCTTAGAGTTCAGAGGAGGGTGAGACCCAACACAGTCTGAAGCACAATTTCCTTATAGATGTGAGACGGGTTTCTACATTATCCAAACAAAACACAGGCCAAAACACCAAACCTCCCATGATCGGGAGGGTGTGGAGATTCTGCCCAACCCTGTCCTCCATGGATGGGAAGCTACTGAGACCCAGGTTTCCTGGGCTAGGAGTCAGAGCTGCACCTTAGGGCAGAGACATTGGACCAGTGCTAGGGTCCTTCGTGCTTATCTTTCTGACCAATCTCTCAGAGCAGGAGACTTGTCCTCTAGTTACAATTCATTCATGCAGCCCTAGTTTTCATTTGCTGCTTGGAAAGTCTGCTTGTATGTGTGTAATTAGCAAGGTATGATTTGTAAAATACTCTTCAGGCAAAAACAACCCTACAAAGCACAGAACATTCTAATGAGAGACCATATAGCCATACAGAAAAATAAAAGCTATTGGTCTTTTGCACTTACAAATTGTTGAATTTTTCTGTTTCCAAGTGGTATAAGGATGGGAGGCAAAAAAGCACACACAAAACTCTTTAACATCTCCAAAATTCAATGGTCATCCCTTACAGTTTCCTGAATTGTCCACTACCAGCAGATTTCACTTTAAAAATGGGTCTGCTTAATTTAAAATTGAGACAAGAAAATGTCGTAAACATGAAGATGAACGTATAATTACCAAATATTTCTGTAATGCATTGAAATCTAGCTGCCTTCTAATAATGGTGATGAGGATTTGCATGCAGATCATATCTCTTATCCACAATGTTGCCATAGTACCGAGTGGGCCAGCCTCATGGGCGAGACCCGCCCTGCTCACGCCGAGGCAGCCCATGCTTCGCACAGGAATGGCTTCTCTCCAGCATGGCAGCACACACTGGGGGCGGGGGGGAGAAGCTGGGAAGGCTCACTGCCCTGGCTCTGCTCTTTCTCTCTCACTGATTGTGGTATACAGTACTTGGTAGATTCTCAGGAAAACAGAGAGTTCCACAGCAGTAGAAATGGTGCACACTACTGCGTTTGAAATGTACAGAACTGACCTAAAATGACCTTAAAAGGCCAAGTGGCTTTTCCTGGTGACTGTTTCCAGAAAAACAGTCAGTAGCATTAATATCTGTGCAACCTGAGTACTTATAAAAATATATTTGGAGACGCACACACACACACACACACTTCCTTTTCATTAACTGCTTCAAGAAACTCTACTTCCCAGAATGATCTAAATACTTTATTGCATAGCCTATATAAATCCTCCCACTCCTGTGCTTGTTTGTGGAAAGGCTTCTGGTGGAACCATTGAGCACTGGGATTAGATTCCTGAACCAGCAGACGTCTTCTTGGGACATTTGTTTGTAAGTGTAACTTGAGTATTTTCTCCCTGTGTGCAAAAATGGTTCTTAGCATACAGGAGTCTTTCTTTATGTAAGAATGAAAATAGCAACGACTGCACTCCTAGCATCTCTATAGCAACTTACATTTAATAAATAAATTTTACATCTCACTTCGTCTTGCCATAAAACAAATTAGAGTAGAAGTTATTATAATATCAGCTTACAAATGAGAGAACTGAGGTGCCACGAGACCAGGGCTGCGGAGTTAGAAAGCAAAAGAATCAGAACTGGGGGTGGCACCTGCTCCCAGACATCGAGGACTTTGGGGGTGAGGACGGCAAGGCTCCAGGGGGCAAAGCCGCTGACTTGTTTTCGGTGCCGGTGGCTGTGGCTCCCAAGCTGGCATTCCCATCCCCGGCAGCCGCTCCGCCTCCTGCACCTCCTCCCGGTGCCACAAGCTCCTCTGTGCACCTGCTTTTTATTTTGGCTACAAAGTTCGCCATTCCTGAACACAGAGTCTGGCGCAAGCCAGTTCTCCCCATCGTCAGCATCCTCCCAGCTCCTACCTGGGTACCCTGAGTTCTGCAAGACGTTGGCGAGACGGGTGTGGCGAGGGAAGCCCTTATACCTGTCGCTCCCACTCCCCTCTGGGCCTGGCAACCTGAAGCCTTCAGCCCGGATAGTGCGTGTTCTCATTTACTGCTGTGAGGCAGGTGCCTCCTCTCAGGGCCTCTCTTCCTTCTCGCAGTCCAGGGACGTTCCTGCAGCTAGCGGTGCAGTAGAGGGAAGGAATGGCAAGCAGAAAGCTTTGTCTTCCCTCTCAGAAAGTCCCTAGACTATGTGATCAAATGATGAACGACGTTTGAAACTCCAAAGTCAGATACCAATGCTCCTGTCATTTTTTTCTGCCTCTTTTCCCAAGGCCTCGAACCCATTCAGGATCTAGTTCCTCCCAAACAAGAGGAATTAAGAGGCAAAAAATAATCATTGTGAGGTAGGGAGGATGTAAATCTAATATTTTGAAACTTTCTCTTAGAGTAGTAGCTCATTTTTCTTAGTCCTCACATGTATGAAGCATCCTGCTAACATTTTACATGTATTTTTTCATGTAATCTGCAATTCTATCAAACTGGGTGCATCTGAGGCCCAGAGAGGGTAAGTGATTTGCCCAAGATCACACAGCTTAAAAGTGATGAAGCTGGAATGTGGGTGCATTTGTTCATTCATTCATCCCATGGGTGTTTATTAGCAGGCACGCTCCTGGAGATACAGCCATGCCGGAGAAGATACAATTTCTGCCCTCATTCTAGCTGACACTCTACAAGATGAGACAGAAGACATGAGAGTATATACATGGCACACATGTCAACAATTCTGACTTCTATGAAGAAAATGCACAAATCCAGGCATTTTCATCTCGAGCCTATTTGTGAACCTACTTCTTCTTAGGGATAATTATGGGGCAGAGCGGTGGCACCCACTCTGCCGCAGTTCCCTTCCTCCCTGTCTACTCATCAAGTTACTGACTTATTTGAGACACACATTCATAAACCATGCAGGAACCTGCACTGGGTATTCAGGGCTTTCCATAAACAGTTCTTTCACATCAATATCAGGTCAGACAGGTATAGCTGAGAGACCAAAAATTTTCTTCTTTTCATTTTCCCCTTTCTTCCTCTTTTTCACGTGCTTTCTCCCTTTCTTTGGATCATTCATTTCATAAAAGTCCAGAAATGCCTACTATGTGCCAGGCACTGTGTTCCCCGCAGGGGTCACCAAAATCACAGAGAAACGGCCGCTGCTCTCAAATCCTGTGCAGCCCACAGGTACCAGAATGGAAATAAACAAGGACTGAGTATTTCTTTTTTTTTTATTTTTTATTTAATGAATATAAATTTCCAAAGTACGACTCATGGGTTACAATGGCTTCCCCCCCCATACCGTCCCTCCCACCCACAACCCTCCCCTTTCCCACTCCCTCTCCCCTTCCATTCACATCAAGATTCATTTTCGATTATCTTAATATACAGAAGATCAGCTTAGTATACCTTAAGTAAGGATTTCAACAGTTTGCTCCCACACAGAAACATAAAGTGAAAAATAATAAATGATTTTTTTTTAAATGATGATGAAATCAGATCAGACCTATTGTCATGTTTAATCCCAGTGAGAGTCAAGTTGGGAATTGATAATTTCTTTCTTTCTTTTTTTTTTTTTTTACAGAAGATCAGTTTAGTGTACATTAAGTAAAGATTTCAATCGTTTGCACCCCCATAGAAACACAAAGTGAAATATAATGTTTGAGTACTCGTTATAGCATTAAGCCTCAGTGTACAGCACATTAAGGACAGAGATCCTACATGAGGAGTAAGTGCACAGTGACTCCTGTTGTTGACTTTACAAATTGACACTCCTGTTTATGGCATCAGTAATCTCCCTATGCACCAGTCATGAGTTTCCAAGGCTATGGAAGCCCCTTGAGTTCTCCGACTCTTATCTTGTTTAGACACGGTCATAGTCAAAGTGGAGGTTCTCTCCTCCCTTCAGAGAAAGGCACCTCCCTCTTTGAAGACCTGTTCTTTCCACTGGGATCTCACTCACTGAGATCTTTTTGCCAGAGTGTCTTGGCTTTCCATGCCTGAAATACTCTCATGGGCTTTTCAGCCAGATCCGAGTGCCTTTAGGGCTGATTCTGAGGCCAGAGTGCTATTTAGGACATCCGCCATTCTATGAGTCTGCTGAGTATCTCACTTCCCATGTTGGATCACTCTCCCCTTTATTTATTCTATCAGTTAGTGTTAGCAGATACTAGACTTGTTTATGTGCTCCCTTTGACTCTTAGTCCTTTCATTATGATCAATTGTGAACTGAAATTGATCACTTGGAATAGTGAGATGGCATTGGCACATGCCACCTTGATGGGATTGAACTGGAATCCCCTGGTATGTTTCCAACTCTACCAATTGGGGCAAGTCAGCCCGAGCATGCCCCAAATTATACATCTCTTCCCTCTCTTATTCCCACTCTTATGTTTAACAGGGATCACATTTCAGTTAATTTTCAACACTTAAGAATAACTGTGTGATAATTACAGAATTAAACCAGTCATATTAAGTAGAACAGACAAAAAAAATACTAAGAGGGATAATGTATTAAGTTGAAGGACTGAGTATTTCAAACACTGGCGCCGTGTGGCGGCACCTGGCCCCTGGTAGATGAGGAAGGGATCTCCACTTCATAGCACAGTGTTCTCCAGGTGCCAGGAGGCAGCTCCACAGTTGAGGAGGAACCAGAAGTGCATCCCTAACCTGTCTCCAGCCATCCTAGGACCCCCCATCTTTTGTAGGAGAATTCATCCTTTCTTGGAATCCCAAGACAGACAAAGGCATGAGATTTATTATTTATATGTGAACAGTGTTAAAAAAACACGGGAACCATCCCTGTATAAAATCATCTTATTGGAACGTATTCTCTAGAATATTAGCTTTAAATGATTTTCATCTTTGATTAATATCTGCCAGTCCAAATTCATTGTGTGTGTGTGTAAAACTGTGCACTAATATTGGCTCAATGTAAGCTTATATTGTGGATTAATGGTCTGTGATCCAAAGGAAGAAAAACATTTGAAGTTATTTACTAGTATTGGCCATTTACAAAGGCCGATTTTCAAAAAGCAATGTGGCATGGTGATTCGAGATTTGTCTAGAGGTCCTATTTCTTTTACAAAGCCATTCAATAAATCCACACAATGGGCGAATATCATAATTGTCTTAGAGAAAATGGTACAGGCACAATTACTTGGATAAAGAATTTCCTGATCAATATGCAATCACTAATAAAAATTTTATAGCTTCTTACACCTTAGGATGTAAAATAAGCATCATGGTAAAAAATTAGTTTATTAAAACCAATAATAGAAAACCCTGTAATTGCTTTTATTTAATTTATCCAATCATTCAGAAGAAATTTGTATTTCAAACCTATTATATACAACTATGGAAAATGAGGTGCAGAAAATATTATATATGACATAGTCCTTGCCTTTAGCTATTGCCTAGAAATAGAGATAAGACCTAAATTTGTATAAATATAATCAGCATAATACTATTTCCAAATTAGAATGATGTGTTACCATGCTAATTGAACAGTTAGCAAAAGATTGATGAAATTTTAAATTCATTCTAGTGCTCTTTAAATCTAAGAGCCAAGAGATGTCATTAACATTTTTATTTTGTCTCTGAAATTAATCTTTTTTGAACTCAGAGCTAATTTTCCTTGTACCTTAAATATCCTGCTTTGCAGCCACCAGGGAAAGGCAGAGGGCTGGGGCCAGCAAAGAATGGGAGTCAACAAAAGGAAATACATGTGTGCTACTTCGGCTGGAGCTTGTGTGGTGGGATAAGAGGCAATGATGTCTGGATTATGGTGGACTTGGACAATCTAGCAAGAGGGTTGGCCTTTATTTAGCAAGAGCAGTGGGAATACCAAAGGAATTTTGAGCAAAATAATGGGATGACAGAAGGGGGCTTTAATAGGAGTCACCTGGAAATGATGTGGACGACCACACCTAGCTCAACTCACTGAGCTTAGGAGGTCACTCTGTGTGTCATTATATTCCCAGAACGCAGCACAGGATAAGTGCTGAAAAATATTTGGTGAGTGAGCAGGTAAATGAGTGGGTGCGTGAGTAAGTTAGTGACAGGAGAGCAATGACCATCTGTGTACTTTATAGCTCCTTCATTGCCTAAAATGGTGCTGGGCTTGACACATACTTGGTAGAATAGTTACTGACAACTCAGCTCTCGTAGTCTGCTTTGTAGATTATGGCAAGAAGTCACACAGGCTAGCTGTAGGAAAGATGAGTCTGTCTTCAATAAATATCTGAACAGAATCAAGTCCACCAACATCCCTAAGAACAATCATCAGAATCATGGAATACGGGTATTAAGACAGCATTTGTAGCGGTTTGTAACTCTTGAAATTGGCAAGTTCTGGTTTTCAGTAACTACTTGAATTTACTTAGAATAAACCAAATACCGTCTTCTTTAGGAGAAAGTATCCCTGTCACCAAGACACCACTGCCCCAGATGGAGAACACCATGCCCTGGAAATCACACAGCTTGGAGGATTACCGGAAACACGTCCTTTTCTGTGGGACGGAAGTTATCCTGGTCAAGCCCTCTGGGCAGGGGCCTGTAAGGGCAGTCGTTTTGCAAACAGGTTAGTGGATCCCACTTTTGTAAGCTCATTCCTTGTTTTGAAGTGGGGAAGAGTTGGAGCTGCGAAATCTTGTCGAGGATTACAGAGTCTGCCACATCTGGTAATGGCCGTCACATCCTTCCAATCAATTGTATTCTAAGTTGTCCCCATTTGTAACCACATAACTCATTGTTGAAACCCTTGTACGTCATGAAGGATAAAGAGGGATGAAGCAAATTTCTTTAAAGACAAAGCCATGCTCCTGTCTTTGGTTGTGTACATAGCCCTCTCCTCTTTTCCCTCTGCATTTCCCCTGAGGATTACCAAGAAAGCGGTGTCAACCGCAGTGACTGTGAGGATTTGCTCCTTTCCAAGACTTGCTTTCTGGGCTGAATTTCCAACTCTCTACTGGATACCTCCACCTGCATGCCCTATAGAGACATCGAGTTAAGCAAACAGGCGTGAGACCTTGCTCCTCCATTGCTTCTTTCTGCTAACAGCATCACCACCTAGCTAGTGGTAACACCTCATTTCCTCCCATACCAAATGGGGTACCAGATCACAAAGATTCTACAAATTCTCCCTGAATCCTGGCTCCTGTGTTTCATCTCCATGGTTGGTGTTTTGTGCTGGATTTCATCATCTCACGTCTAAACTATTAGAATAGAAACAGTCTTTTGACTGTTTCCTTTTTATTGGCCCCAACTTTTATCTAACGTGACCTTCAATCTGTCACCTAGGCACATTTCCAAGACACAGTTTGGAGCAGCTGGGACCTATCATGCCTGAAGCTTGTGTTACAGCTAGCCATGAGAGTCCCAGTCTTTCACGCTTTTCTCCACCAAGGCCTTCTGTGCCTGGTCCTGGTTTATCATTTCTGCCACCCCACAGAGTCACATAGTCACAGGTACAAGATATACTTTGAACCTTGGTATTGCTGGGTTTGGTTTGGTCTGTGATTCAATAACTGAACATTTTTTTAAATATGCATTTATTTATTTGAAAGTTAGAGTTACAGAGGGAAAGAGGGAAAGACAGAGAAAGGGGGAAACACAGAGATCTTCCATCCACTGGTTCACTCCCCCAGATGGCCGCAATGGCCAGGGCTGGGCGAGGTCAAAGCCTGGAGCCAGGAGCTTTGTCTGGACCTACCACATGGGTGGCAGGGCCCGAACACTTGGGCCATCTTCTGCTGCGTTTCCCAGGACAATAGTATGGACCTGGATGAGAAGTGGAGCAGCTGGAACGTAAATGGGCACCCATATGGGATGCTGGCATCGTAGACGGTGGCTTTACTGGCTATACCACAAACCCATCCTCACTGAACATTTTTTAAATTAAAATGCAAAGTTTTTTAAATGTTAAACCTCTTTAGTGGGCATTAGAGCATCCCCCGGTCTACTACCTAAACAGAGGCTAACAGTAACACATGCTGGAAATCCCATGATTACTCATAAAATGCTCAGGCAGAGAGGGTTAGAGGAAACCATTCTTCTCCTCCACAAGCAGCAAAGCCACGTTTGAGGATACCAAGCATCCATCAACAATGGGGATAAGGCATGATTTACAGTTACAGGACTGCCTCATCTCTAGAACAGAACAGGAAAAGATTTTAACCAGTAATTTAGATGCTAACGAGTGTGCACTATGTGCTATGCACTTAAGACGACAGAAGAACTTTGAGATAACCCTGAAGAAAGTCATGGTCTGCTGCAGGAGACAGCTGGACATACAGCTAACTGCAACATGGAGAGAAAAAAGCCATAAGACTAAGAGTCACGGAGACTCCAGAGAGTGAGAAGTACTGCTTTTGGTGCATGGCGCAGGAGTAGAGTTCTGGAAACGTTGATTTGTCGAGGAGGCATTTTGAGCCATGCCTGATGGAGTGCGGAGGGTTTAGCCAATCATATCAGAGCTGGAAAGACTTGCTAGTGGTTGCTTCCAGAGCACAAAAGAAGGAGTGCCCAGGGGTCTCCCAGGGCCAGTGAGCAGCTAAGAGATCAGTTCCGCAAGCTAGGAGCAGATCAGAGGGAAGGGGACCTTGAGAGCCATGCCTGGAAATTTGAACTTCACTCTAAGAAAATGGGGGTTGCAGCAGGTGTTTGAGCATGAGAATGACATGATCAGACTTGCCTTGTGCATTCCTTTTTATTTTTGCTCTTTTTCAACACATGCATCTATTTTCAACATATATCTGTTTTAAAGTCTTTTCTCAGCATCTCACTTTCTTTGATTCTTCAGCTCCTTAGTCCTCTTTTCCTCCACCTTGTGAGTGAGCGAGGAGCTGCCCCTTGTGAGCCACTGAGGCACTGATGCTTTGAGCAAGAGAAATCAAACAGAGCAACGTGAATGCCGAGGCTTGCTCCTGCTGGCCTGTAACAGCAAGGAATGCAAGCACACTGCGAAATCCCGGCATGCTGTTTCCATTCCGTACTCCAATGAGTCACTTAACAATTCTTAATCATTCAAACCACTTTCAGATTAGGAGAAACTAAATTAATGTGATTATCTTCATGTAGGTTATAACACAGCCAAAGGGGACTTGGTGAGATCCATCCTCTACCCCCGGCCTCTGAACTTCAAACTATACAGTGATGCCTTCAAGTTCATGGTATTCCTGGCCTGCCTTGGTGTCCTGGGCTTTTTCTATGCCCTAGGGGTATACATGTACCATGAAGTAAGTATCAAAGTTTTTCAATAGTACAGCTTTTTCAAAAAGCTTGTCCTGTCTCAAGAGGATTAGGCAAAGCTACCTCTTGATTCCATTGGGCAAAGGGCATGTCCGATTGTCATTGTTACTGAACTTGGATCTGTGTTTCCAATACTCAAAAAAAATAAGTGTATGGCTAAAATGATGGTTAGTTTTAAAAAAGTGTAGGCAAGGTTGTAGAGGGTAGAAGCCTTAATATTGAGAGCATGTGAGAAATCTCTGAGCACAGCTTTGTGGACTGCCTCTGCAGACCTGGCAGGGACCCTGACACATAAGAATCGGCCTGATGCTATCATACAGGGCTCACGTATTTGTGCCCTGGTGCCTGGTGCCTGACAAACAAAGGTTCAGATCCTCATTCTTAGTAGCATGTAGCCTTGAGGAAGTTTTTTTTTTTTTTTTTTTTTTTTTTGGACAGGCGGCAGAGTTAGACAGTGAGAGAGACAGAGTGAAAGGTCTTCCCTCTGTTGGTTCACCCCCCAAATGGCCGCTACTGCCCACGTGCTGCGCCGATCCGAAGCCAGGAGCCAGGCGCCCCCTCCTGGTCTCCCATGCGGGTGCAGGGCCCAAGCACTTGGGCCATCCTCCACTGCCTTCCCGGGCCACAGCAGAGAACTGGACTGGAAGAGAAGCAACCGGGACAGAATCTGGAGCCCCAACCGTGACTAGAACCCAGAGTGCTGGCGCCGCAGGCGGAGGATTAGCCTAGTGAGCCGCAGTGCTGGCCGAGGAAGTTGTTCAATATTTCATGCCCAGGTTCCCTCATCTGTTAAGTGGAGAAAATAACAAGTATTTATATTCTCAGCTGGTTGGGAAGAGTAATTAAATAAGATATCTATCCCAACACATCACCTGCTCCAGTGTTACAGTCAAGTGAGGGAAAGCTCATTTGATGATTGTCTTCCCTACAGCTATGGCGAGAGCTAAGCAGAATCTTGTTCTAGATCTGGTGGGTTGGCATTCGATCAATCTGTGTTTTGAGCACAGCACCTTCTCTGTGTCCGAGTCTGTGCTAGGCCTTCTTTCTAGAATGAATTCTACAATGAATTCGCAGATGAATTCAAAGCTGAATGAGCCACAGCTGCCGCACCCAAGAAATTTGGCCACTGAGCCAAGAGATTTAGACACCGATGGCCAAGGCACTGAGTTAAATATCACAGCCCAAGTTTAGCTCCAGTGTCCTGGGAGCCTCCATTGTGCTTGAAAGTAGGAAGAGCAGAGAAGGCATGGTGTTTAAGCAGAGGGGATGCCAGGAGGAGAGAGAGTCAGGAAAGGGCGGAGTGGACTTGGAATAGAGGAGGGGTCTCCTTGCTTCTGCACTGGGAGGTAATGCACCTTTCCTTAGTCTCAGCCAGGAGAAGGCTAAGCCCTGCAGCAGAGCTGGAGAGCCCGCTCATGCTGCCTGAGGGCTCTAGGGTTCCTCGTGGGCTGCAGGGGAAGGTGCCCAGAAGTAAGCTAACCTGCATGCCTACTCCTCCCCTCCCCAGGTGCCTCCAAAGGACACTGCAACCATGGCCCTGATCCTCCTCACTGTCACTGTGCCCCCTGTGCTGCCAGCTGCCCTGACCATGGGGATCGTGTATGCCCAGAAGAGGCTGAAGAAGAAGGAAATCTTCTGCATCTCGCCCCAGAGAATCAACATGTGTGGGCAAATCAACCTTGTGTGCTTTGACAAAGTATGATCTGAAATTCTGGGTTGGAGGTTAATGGTTTCAAGGTGCCCCAGGGTTGGGGAGGGCCTTGGAGGGGAACGCTGATGCCAGAGGAAGTGACTGAGTTAATGGGAGATGACGTTCTAGAAGCCTGCTTCATGGACTCTTCAGATAGTGGCTTAGCGGTTACATCATGATCCTTTTCTTGTGAAATTTAGTATTTTGCTCCTGTTTCGCACTTTAAAATAATCTGTTACTATAATGGCTTCTGTGGCTGATTGATTTTTTCTGGCAAAAAGTGTGAGGAAGCTTTCTGTTCCCTGAAGCACTTTTCTGTAGCTGAAGTGAACACAGCACTTTCTTCCTGTCTGCTTCTGGAAAGGAAAAAGGAGGGCGCCCAGTGGCCTGGGTTCGCATCCTCCTGCCATTGCTTTCCTCTTTGCTCTGGACTAAGGGAATTGACTCTGCATAGGGACCTGGAAAGGTGGCAGTGGAGGAGCAGATGCCGGGTCATGGGGGTGGGAGCAGGGAGGTGCACTGCTGCTAAGGGGGCAGGTCCCAAAAAAGCAGGTCCTATGGGGCACCTGGGGAAATGTCAGGGTTAGCTGCATGCTGTCCAGACCCTGCCCTCAGCTTGGACAGGTCACCTTGCCTCCTTGCTCCCTCTCTCTCTTCAATTCATTTGCATTTGAAGCATCTATGTTTTGCCAGGTTCTAGTTAACCCCCCTTGTCAGAGGGCCACTGCTCTGTACAGTGCTGGTGGAGAGACCCATTCATGAGTAGCTCCCGACTCTTGAGCAGCAGAAGGAAGAAGCAGGGAGACAGGAGTGTAGACGTGATCATGTCACAAGACGCGCGCTTCATAGACACGTGAGGAACACATCAGGCACAGTGGTTACAGCCCCTCCCCAGGTGGGAGGCAAGCTTTGATCATCAGAGTAGGCCGCAAGCTCAGAGGTGAGCAAAATGAAGGCAGGGCTGTGACGGGCCTGCGGCTTGTGGGGAACAGAAGCTACTGAGCTGTAGCTAAAAAGGAGGTTGTTTGCTAGAGAATGAAGTGGAAGAGAGGGATCCCAAGTTAAGGGCCTGATATGCCAAGGGAGGCAGTGGGACTTTGTCTTGGAGGAGAATGGAAGCCCTTCTCATTGTGTAAGATAAATACAGTGACATTTGTATAGGTGTTTTGTTTATTCTATGTTGCTGGAAGCAATCGACCGAGGCCGGTGTCACAGACAGGCTAAGAATTCACCAGAGCATGTAGAGAGCAGCAGCTAGGTTTGTTGAACACACTGCAAGGGAGCAGTGAGCATACAGGTGAGGTAGGGATTGGCTACTGCTGTAACACAGAGGGGTGCACCTGTAGTGTCAGTCCCTTCTTAGGGTGACTGTTGCCATATGCTTGCAAGGGGACAGTAGGCAGGACAGTCAGTGTCTATTACAAAGTGGACTACAATCAAAGGAGTATATTTGTAACTTCAATAGTTCCTCACTGAGAATGGATTTTCTAGAGGTGAACTGAATTAGTCTGTTCAGAAGGGGAGGCCCAAGGGTTAGAGCAAAGAGGAGAAATATTAGCAGAATCATTAGGGGCAGGAGAGAAAATAGAACTTACAGTTGAAATCTGAATTGTTTGTTCCTAGGTGTCACATTTCTTGATCAGCAAATGTAGGCATAAATGTTCATGAAGAATTATCAGGTTGTCACAGGTGGCTGTTATTCTCAGACACATCAGCCAGCCTTGGGTGACAATGTGTGAGAATAGGAAGTATCATGTCCCATTGGTATCTCTTTTGAAATGGGGCCCTCTGTAGAGGGTGTAATTCTAATAGAGTTTGCTGTGTGAGTTACTATCAGGAAATCATGCAGAAGAACCCTTCCTTTATAACCTCTTGGTGTTAGCTAATTTTGTTTAAGGTTGACACCAGTGACACCGTCTTGATTTTCATTCCCTTCTTGAGATCAATAGCGTTTTCTGAGCACATGTATGATCTGTCACCCTGGAGCTGGGTTCTGTGTTTCCCTCATTGCAGACTGAATTAGACCTGGCTGCTGATCTGGTCCAACATTGACAGAGACTATTTGACCACCAGCAGTCAGTGTCAGAAACCATTTCAGCCACATTTGAGCAGCAAAGAGAATTTAGAAGGAGTGGCGCTTAGGTTAACTTTACCTGGAGTCCACTGTTAGACTTAGCTTTATCTGTTCTATAGGCACAAGTCATCATCTCAGAATGCCAGGGCAGCATTATCTTGTTGAGAATTGCAGTTTTGTAGCCCTGAGCTCAAAAAGGAAAATATATTACGAAACCAACAAAAGTATCAAGATTAGCAAGATTACAAACAATGAGTTAAACTTTAAAAGCATGTGTATTATAGTTTGTTGATCTGCATTAAGCTAGTAACAAAAGTTGTTTTGTCATATAATAATCTCAGATTTGAAAAATTCGCAAACTGAAATGTTATTCCAAGGCAGATTTAGATTTTTAAACTATAGTTCCTAATCTTTTGAAGTTTTAGGGGTTACTAAGAAGTGACAACTCCATTTACTCACTGCAATGCTGAGGGCCCATGAGGTCAGACATCCTATGCATGATTTTTAAATTTGCCAGTGTTTTCAACTATATCTTGTTTTGAGTAGAATAGATTCTTACTGAACTTATGAAACAATCACATTGCCATGAAAAACCAAATAGCCTCATAAGTTTTGAATTCCGGAGGAATTAAGTAGAGTAGAAAAGGTAAACCCTTTTATCTCTTTACCAAAGCACAGCAAACAATAGAAATCACAGGAAAGTTTTCTTGAACCTAGAAGCTGAGGCATTCAAATACAGAGCAAACAATCTTTCCATCCGTTTTAAAGCAGTCAGAAACCTGCAGTCAAGAACATTTGTTAACTCTTTAAGACTCAGCTTTCCCAAGAGGAACTTGAAAACACCAGAGAGCGCAATAGATTTTACCTGAGAAGTCTGAATTTAACAGAGTGCAGAGACTACAAGAGATTACCTTAAAGCTTACAGCAGAGATGGAGTTGAAGGGCCCATGTTTCCATTTTGGAAGTTTTTATTGTAGCTAAACAAAAGAAAACTAAAAAAATTTATTTTTTGGGTCTGGTGTTAAACTAATCCAAATTAAGGCGACTGTGGCATTCTTCAAAACCCATTTAACCAGGGAGCAGGGCACAGGGTGACTGTGTCAGTGGGGCACCCCTCTACAGAAGGGGAGCTACTGATGCTGCTTTGGTGGAAAGAAGCTTGGATACTTCCTCAAGAAGGAAAGACTCTGATGCTGGTGAGCAAATCCAGGTCGGAAAGGGACCAACAAAGAGAGCCAGTCCAGGATGGTTTACCAGAGTGTCAGCCCAAAAAGGAAGGCAAACGCTGGGTTTTCAACCTCGGTGAAGGACAAAGGGAGCCTATACTGGAATAGAAGGGGTCCTCACTCCTAAGGGCGATTGGTACCAAGCACCCAAAAATGGAGACCTTCCGAATCCAACAGAGATTCACCCTGGCTAACAATCCTCAGTTGCCCCTGCACAGGCAAGCTGTTCTCTGAGACAGAGCATGGAGAAGCCAGGTCCTCACCCGTGATTGCAATGGGTACGAGGTGTGTGAGAACAGGAGTCTTTCATTTCTTCCAGAGAGTGGCCCTGGCCAGAAACTTTCAGTTGCTCCTGCACTGGCAAACTGGTTGCTGAAGACCAGACAGAAAAGGAAGCTCTGAGCGTGATCAGGGGGACAATGGCATGTGTGGGTTCTCACAGATGAGCTGCTGCTGCCTGTTGGGCCACACTTTGGAGGCTGGCTCCTGTGATCAGAAAAGTCCCCATATGGGTCGTCAAAATGTCAAGGGAAGCTACTGATGGAGGCCAGCATAGGGGATACTGCCCTGGGGGCCAACCTCCACATTCTATATGGAGGAATTGGCAAGATGGGATGGGAGGGAAGGGGTTAGAGGGAGGAGACCATCTGAGGACAACTGAGGAGATCACTCATGGTCTTAGACAATGAGGACAAGGATGGAGAGACACCAGGAGTAGATTTGACAAGTGTGGGGAGTCTTGGTCCTACTTGGAAGTGGTCTATATCTTAGACAACGTCAGTCCTTCTCTTCCTGTTTCATTTGTAAAAGAAAGTCCTCAGTTATCACCAGTCAGGGGCCAGAATGGCTAATGTCAAAACAGCTTCATGTTAGATTCAGGATCAGATAACAACTCCCTGGAAGTTTTCTTTTTCTTTTTTTTTCTTTGTTATTTTTTTCACCAAATTTGACAGGCAGAGTGGACAGTGAGAGAGAGAGACAGAGAGAAAGGTCTTCCTTTTGCCGTTGGTTCACCCTCCAATGGCCGGCGCAGCTGGTGCGCTGCGGCCAGCGCACCGCGCTGATCCGATGGCAGGAGCCAGGAGCCAGGTGCTTCTCCTGGTCTCCCATGGGGTGCAGGGCCCAAGCACCTGGGCCATCCTCCACTGCACTCCCTGGCCACAGCAGAGAGCTGGCCTGGAAGAGGGGCAACCGGGACAGAATCCAGCGCCCCGATCGGGACTAGAACCCTATGTGCCGGCGCTGCTAGGCGGAGGATTAGCCTAGTGAGCCGCGGCGCCGGCCTGGAAGTTTTCTAATGGGGATTCTTCTACCTTACCCAGCAGTCTAGAGTATAGGAGGGAGATGGATAAAACATATTCATTACATATTTGTTTCAGAACTAATTTGTTCCAGCAGCTGTTCCTTTTACTTCCTGTCTCAAACTGTGTTATCAGGAGCTTCTCTGCTATGTTGGTGGACTTTCTTGGACTTTCTCCTGGACTTTCTTGGTCAAATACCATATGGCCCGATGGCACATGACAGTGCCAAGACCTCTGGCTTGGGAATCAGCAAAAGAAGTCCAGTGCTGAATCCGACCCTTAGCTTCTGGGTGGATTTTTAGTCCAAGAAGGCTAGACCTCAGTTTTCTTTGAGTTTCTTTCAAGTGTTCACATTAGAAAACTCTATCACCATGATGTTGCAATAAAGCACTCCACAATTAATAGAATTTCCATCTAGTATTGTTTCAATCCAGGTCTATTCTTGGGCTTCTGAGTACACAAGATTACTCCAAAAAGTCCATAAAAAGTGAAATTCAAAGATAAGTTTATTTTGGTTCAAAATATTTTAAAATCCAGGCACTCGAGGAAACATCAGAAAGTTCATGGAAAACATCTATTATTAAAAAAAACTGTACATGAATTTCAAAAGTTTTTACATCAAAATAAACTTCTCTTTGAATTCCATTCTCATGAACTTTTTGATATCCTCTTGTATTTGTTCCCACGTGTATTTCTATTTTATGTTGGACTGTTATATATTCTCTATGACAAGCTCTTTTTGTTCAAGCCTGGGCTTGTATTTATGCTAAGAGGTTTTCTTTTTCTATCTCATTCCCTTTAGAACCTCAACTATAATTTAATTTTTCTTCTAGTTTTTGTTAGTTTTATTGAATAAGGATCATTTTCACATAGAGAAATTATGTACTTCCATTTCTGTTCTGCTTCAGAAACATCTCTGTTTTCATGTTTGAAATATTGATGTTTAAAAACATAATCTTGTCATCAGGAAACTATTTCCGTTTGAATTAACTTGCTGTTTTTGAAATGGAACAACTCAAGAGGATTTGGAAACTAAACACACACTTTGGGGCCCTATAACAGGAGGGAGATAAATGAAGCAAATAGCTTTAAAAAAAAGGTGCTCAAGGGATAACTCATGCCAACATGTTAGCTCTTTCTTTGTGACGTCCGAATGAATTAATGAAACAAAGACTCCTTCCTTTTTTTAATCTAGAACCCCAGAACAGGCATTTGTCTTTCCACATGCCTTGCATAATCCACCTAACAAATCTAGTGATGGAAGATTCCAGAAGGACTGCATTCTGGTCCTGCATCTAAAATCTATAGTCCACTGTGTTCTTGGGGCTGCTTACTTCACATCTAACCTGTGTCTGCTTGTTCTACTGTCATGAGACGGACTGTCAGCACTGCACCTTCAAACATTATGCTAATGTGAAATGCTATGGGTAAAGATGACGTCATTTGATGGAAAACTAAAAAATTCAGTGTCTTATAACAGAGATGATCTTAAAAAGTCATGTGAGAGGTTGGAGTGTCAGTGTTGAAACATGGTGTTCCATGGTGCTTGGGAACATTGCCCTGCTTGGGTAGTGCTGAGGCAGTGGTGGCCACTCCACTTACCCTCCTCACCTTGGGCATTCAACAGGCCCAGTGTGGTGGGATTCCACACCAAGGCACATGGGTTGAGTTAATGGGTGACTATGAGCCAATGAGGAAATAGAAGTGATAGTGCTGAGTTCTGTTTTGCTCTGTCTGCTATAATATCTGACAAATACTCTCACATAATACAGCAAATCACATCTCCTGACCATTTTCTTCTTGATTGAACAATAAAACTCATTAATGGACATTAATTAATATTTGTTATTAGCACTCAGTTTCTCTCTACAGTCTCAAAGTCCTTTATCAACATTTCATTATCAATCTAGACAGTCATCATTTTTAGAAAAATTACTGCAAGCCAGATGGCAAACTGTGAACTAAACCGTCTTGGAAAGAAAGAAAAAAATTGTGAGCTCTGCTTTGGAAAAACAAGAGTTGCCAATTAAAGCGTCTAACGGGCTGGTTTTGTTGAGTTGTCATGTACTAAACCTCCTCCGTTTAACAACACAGCATTCACAACAATAAACAAACAGAACCAAAGACAAACACTTGCATTTTGTTGTCAAAGTTAGTAACTAGAATCACTAATTAGGAACATGAGATTCCAGGGATCATTTATCACCTGATTTAAAAAACTGGATGTTTACAAACATGGGATTTTGACACCTGGATCTACCGTTATTTTTTTGGAAGCTTGGGATTGTTTTTTTTTAATCATCATATAATTAAAAACTTGAAATCTTATGCTAATCCCAATTTAATTTTTATGCAGACTGGCACTCTAACAGAAGATGGGTTGGACCTCTGGGGGACTGTCCCTACTGCTGACAACTGGTAGGTCCCTCAAGTGGAGATGGGGTGTGTGATTGGTGAGGATGCTTTGGTGGTATTCAAATAATCCCTCCCTTCTTGAGGGATGTATATATAAAATAATTGGCTGAACCCACTCCCAATTATTCTAACTTGTTTAATTAAATGAGTTCTAAGTTCAGAATCAGATAAGGAGAGTAGATCTTCAAAGTCCACATGAAAAATGAAATAGAATAAGGTGGGTAATTAAGGGGCTAAATGAATATAACAGAGGAATAAGTGGAATTGAGACCAGGCTTAATTAAAAACTACAAAAGCTTCTTTCTGGATAGCTTAGTGGGGCAGGTATTGGGGGTGGGAGTATTTCCAGGAAGGAATGGCTCCATCTCTTCCCTGAAGGTGGGATAAAAAATTACAAATTACAAATGCACCCTCTTTGAATGTACAACACTGACTATGGGAATTTTGCTATTGAGACAGATATAGCAGAATGAAGAGAAGCAGCAATAAGGATTTATTCAAGTGGCACAGTCCTGACTTTTATAACATCATGGGTACAGGTAGAAATTTATTGTGACATTCAGCCGACGCCGTGGCTCACTAGCCTAATCCTCCACCTTGCGGCGCCAGCACACCGCGTTCTAGTCCCGGTCGGGGTGCCGGATTCTGTCCCAGTTGCCCCTCTTCCAGGCCAGCTCTCTGCTGTGGCCAGGGAGTGCAGTGGAGGATGGCCCAAGTGCTTGGGCCCTGCACCCCATGGGAGACCAGGAGAAGCACCTGGTTCCTGCCATCGGATCAGCACAGTGTGCCGGCTGCAGCACGCCAGCCGCGGCGGCCATTGGAGGGTGAACCAACTGCAAAGGAAGACCTTTCTCTCTGTCTCTCTCTCTCACTGTCCACTCTGCCTGTCAAAAAAAAAAAAAAAAAAAAAAAAGAAATTAGTTGTGACATTCAGTGGATCAAAGAAAGTCACTTGATTGGCATGCCCCTTGGGACCAATTTTGATGGATGTGTAGCTAGAAATTTTACAGAGTGGCTAAAAGCTGGCAGTGGGTAGAGGCAAGTACAATCACATAGATGTCTACCCCAGAAAGGGCTGGAGGGGGAACCGGGCCCCTCCACAGACAGTATCCCCAAGCTCTATCTCCACTCTGCTGGACTGAGGCCAATCTGAGTGACGGTCACCACTGCTGTTAGCCTTGAGATACCCCATTTTGGCTCCAAACAGTGGCTGATGCTGCTGAAGTCAGCAAATGTCCTTTATGCTCTAGAATCCAGGACACGAAGGACATGAATATGAATAGAAGCAGTGCATCAAAGTAGAACCAGAGCAGACAGGACACTGAATTCCACACTAAGAAGTTTGGACTTCATCAGCCAGAGCATAGGGAGCCTTTGATGGTTTTGATCATAAGGGTTATGAGACTGTAGCTCCATCTAAGCACACAGGGACTCCTCTAGAAAGTGATGAAGCCAGCTGCAGCGTGGACACCAGATAAAAAGGCAGCCAGTGTGCCGTTGCAGAAGATACTCTGGGTTGGGGCTCGGTGAACTACCTGCAAGCTCACCCTACACAAGTGTCTCTGCTCTGTCCCAGCCAGATCTTCGTCCAGCCAGGCGGGGCCTCTGTTGACTAAAGCAGTGCAAGGAGAAAAGGCTGCTTGCAGCTTCCATCCCTCAACTCCCTCCCTTGCCCTAGCACTCTGAAGCTTTGGGGGATACGGAAACAGCGAGATACAACCCAACCACTATTCAGTTCTAAGGCGGGGGGAGAGGAAGGTGAACCTTACCAGTCTGTCCTGCCCAGGAAGACAGCAGGTGTGAGGTCCAGGCTGGGAGTTTCAGGAAATGGACCATACTACATACAGGGGTGACCAGTGAGCACCCTTAGAGCTCAAGCATGCTCTTGCTTACCTGAAACCGCCAGGCAGGCTTCTTCCTAATCCTACCGCCCTATTTATCCAGAGACTTCTGGCCTAGGGCACATGGTGTTTTAGAGGTGGCTCTATAGGATGTGCAGCGGCAGCTCTGAGCTGCCTGTTCTTGTGCCTTCTAGAAACACTGCCATTGTGTGGGCTGATTACAAGTAACTCAACAAATTCCCTGTGATGACATCTAAACCCTCTGCAGTTACAGTATTGATTGACCAGTGGCAAACTGTTGAGAAGAAAATTCATGTCTAACTCAAAGAAGGGTTTTTATAAATATCACTCTGCAGGCAGAATGGTCTGGTTAAAACTGTAAAGAAATTGAGTGAGCAAGGGTTTGAGGGCAGTGAAATCTCTGGTCTAGGAGAGAAATAGCAAGAAGTTTAAGTTGGCTCTAGAATCCAAGGCACGAAGGACATAAGGAAGAGTGGAAGATATAGATGTAGGTAGAACTGGAGCAGAGAGGACATTGCATACCAAGTTAGAGTTTGGACTTTATCAGATGGAGTGTGGGGAGCTTTTGAAGGGATTGGAGCATAAAAGTTAGGTGATCATAGCTCTAATCTTATTAAGATTAAGGGAAATATGTGAAAAAATATTTTATTGAAAATTTTAACTTTTAAATATTTCTCCACCAGTTTCCAAAAAATCCACAGCTTTTGTCTCAGGCAAGGCTTTGCCATGGGGGCAACTGTGTGCCGCCATGGCCAGCTGCCACTCTCTGATCCTCCTTGATGGGACCATCCAGGGAGACCCTCTGGACCTCAAAATGTTTGAGGGCACTGCTTGGGTAAGATGGGAGTTCGTTCCACTGAGTGAGCAGAACTTGAACAAATCCTTACTAGGGCTATGGCGGCATTTTCCCTTCTCTCTTTCACTTACATAAAGGGAACAAATTTCATGTATTTCATATATACATACAGCTTTAAGAGCCTAATGATGCTTCCCATCCTACCCTCTCTGCCTTTCTCACTCCCACCCTAACTCCTCCTCTTTTTCTTCTTTTTCTTTTAATCTTTACAATGACATATTTTCAAGTTACTTTATAATCACAAGGTTAAAAACCAGAGAAGATTCACAGTAATGCATGAATGTGGGTTTGATCCCACCAGCATTTCCCAAGCACTGCTCCAAAGAACTCTGCTAATGAATGCAACATGAAAGAGGGATCCATGATCAAATGAGCGTAGACACAGTTGTTTAAACAAAGTTAGGCAGATATCTTGACTGTAGGATTTTTTTTAATATATGGTGATGTCATGTGAATACTCAAGAGGGAGTATAATATGCAGCATTTACCAAAACTTTCTGACAATTAAGCCTTACTGATAGGCCATAATATCGTACAAATGTTCTCCAAACAATCCTCAGAGAAATAGTCCGTTGAAGCAGTGCCATTGAGCCCAGAAAATGCAGCTCTGCAACTGAGGAACTCAGTGGTTGATTTTATTTTGTTTACGTTTAAATAGCCACAAGTGGCTGTGAGCTCTGTTTTGTACACCACAGGCCTAGACACGGAACAGGGGGACCGTTGCACCAACTGGCTCAATTTCCTGAGCTGGATATGAATGGCAATTAGAGGGTAGAAACTCATCATGGGTTCTGAAGACACAGTGTGAAGAGCTCTGCCCTCCGCCACACTCTGGCTGCAGGATCCCGAATCCAAAACCAAGATTGAGTGTCTTCCCTCATCTGTGCGTTGGGTATAGCAATGCCTCATTTGTGGACGTGTGGTGAGCTTTGAGAAGATGAACATCAAGGGGCTTTGAAGACTATTAAATGACAAACAAATAGAAGATATTCTTTCATTTGTCCCTTAGTTTGTTAATTACATTTGCTGCCCTCCACAAAAAGCAAAGCAAAATAAAACAAAACTAAATATATGTGGCCAATCTATATAGCTGAAAAAGAATGGAAGCAATTGTAGGATCATGATGGACACCTCGAAAGAAGCTGATAGAGGGGCTGGCACTGTGGCTTTTCAGTTGGTTAATCCTCTGCCTGCGGTGTCAGCATCCCATATGGGCTCCGTGTTCTAGTCCAGGTTGCTCCTCTTCCAGTCCAGCTCTCTGCTGTGGCCCACGAGGGCAGTGGAGGATGGCCCAGGTGTTGGGCCCCTGCACCTGGTTGGGAGACCAGAAGAAGCACCTGGCTCCTGACTTCGGATCGGCATAGCACCGGCTGTAGAGGCCATTTGGGGAGTGAACCAACGGAAGGAAGATCTTTCTCTCTGTCTCTCTCTCTCTCACTGTCTATAACTCTACTGTCAAATAAAAAAAAAGAAGCTGAGAGAATGTTTGCTAGGGGGAAATTTTTAGCTTTTTAAAGGCCAAATTAATAAAAGGACAAGTACAGTAATAGGGGAATTTGTTGATATCAGAAAGTTAAAGTGAGAATACTTGCTGTGAAGAGATTGCGGACACAAAGCAAAACAGTAATAAGTCTCCTGGATCTTGATAGACAAGATCCAGTGTCCTCATTATAAAGCCATGTCCTTAACAATGTCCCTGAAATTGACATGGGGCTGTGTTGCAGAGTCCTTGATGTTGTATGTGAGCTTGATCCTGGTCCTAGGTAGTGTCCCTTCTCCATCAGAAGATGGTTGATCTAAAGAAGCTGGGATCTTTAGAAGCATATATCTTTAGTGCTAGCTCTGTAAGAACAATTGTACCTACCTCAAACAAAGAACAAAAATTCAGGATTGTTCACTTAAAAGAAGTTTAAAGCTGGGTCAGAAGCAGTTTCAAGTTAAATATCCTTTGGCAGTTAGGAACATTCCACTAAACATAAGGGGAAAGGAACATGTTCTTACAAACTCCTGAGAATTTCAGTGCTAGAAGGGGTGTCAGGATATTTTTCAGAAGAAATTGATGTCTGGAGAAATGAAGGGATATGCTCAAAGTTAAGCAAGTTAATTGACGTAGTGGCAACTGGATAATATCTTCTATTTTCTGACCTTTAATCTTTAATGTATGACTGTCTTTCCCATATTGTAATGTTAGTTAATAGTGTCTTTTCAATGCTATTATCTTCTATTGTAACATCCAAAGATTATAAATTTTCATATGTGACTCTAATTTGCTAGCAGCTGACTTGTTAACTCTCTAGTTAACTAAATTAGGAGAGTAGCATAGATACAGCATAAAGAAGTGATTCCATTGTAACCAGGCCCGCTTCTGTGTCATCTGAAATATACCATGCTAAGCAGTGTTGGAGGGTAGATCTGCCTGCATCCATCCTCCTGTTACTCAGCACAACCACTTAGGAGAAGTCACTGAGCTGTAGCTAACACTTCTTTACCAGTGATACTTAAAATGTATTCATAATATTTCTGGCTTTTTGACATTCTACAATAAGTTCCTTAATATGAATCAGCACAACAGCCATTTGACAATGAGTGCATTAAGATAATTGGCCTGAAAGAAAATATGTGAAAAGGGCTTTGAAGAGATTGAAGTGTTATGCAAATAAGAAATATTTCTTTCTTATTATTTTTCTCCAAGGAATCTTATGCATGTTTTCATTTTATAACAGAAAATGGAAGAGCACAATGTAGACTCCTGCAAATTTGGGTTGTCAGCTTCCAACATAACAATAAAACCGGGACCCAAAGCCAGTCAGGTATTATGTGCTTCTTCATATCATGTGATTCTTACCCCTTAGACCTGGTGAAACTTCTCTGACTTTTGCATACTTTTATATTCCTATTACTTGGCCTTATCCTAACAATTTTCATTGGTTTGGTCACTTCTGAACTCATCCATGAATTTATTGAACAAATACTGAATAGTTATGCATGCTGAGGCACTTTTCCAGGTTTTAAAAATAAAATGTGATGGGCCCTGTGCTGGAGGAACACAGAGAGACTGGGAGAAAACTCAATTTAGGCCCAAATTAGTGTTGTAGGTATGCCAAGTGCTGTAACAAAGGCTGAAGAAAGAACTGTGGGAGACAGAGGTGGGAGTGACCTGGAGAGGAGACCTGAGAGCTTGGCCTGGAAGGTGATCAGGGTTTCAACAGACAGTCAAGGGATAGGGTCTTGCAGGCCAGACAGCTCATGGAGGGAATTACCTAAGAAGCAACCAGACAAACCTGAATATTGTGACAAATGCACCACTTCATGGTGTTGCTGGGCTCATTCCAAGGCAAACCCCTTTGGTTCTTGCGCATCTGCTAGACATCGTCTAAAGCTCTAAAAGCTCACTTTCTTTGATGCCCATGTAGAGTCCTGTGGAAGCCATCACCATTTTGCGTCAGTTTCCCTTTTCCTCGAGTCTGCAGAGGATGTCTGTGATTGCTCGGCTGGCCGGGGAAGATCACTGCCATGTGTACATGAAAGGAGCCCCGGAGATGGTGGCCAAGTTCTGCAGATCTGATACAGGTACTGGCATGTTTCTCTCTCCAGAGGTGAAATGTTTTAGAAGACCAAGCACCTAAAGCAAACACACACACACACACACACACACCCTACACACACAAAGCTGCATGGTCCATGAATGGCACGGTGGTTGTTTTCTAGGTAGGTAGAAAGGGGGCCCAGTTGATCCTATAAAGTAAGAGTGACGATTTCAAGGCACAGAGACAGAGAGTAATTTCTGGCCATCGTTCAGGCAGAAAAGTACAATCCCCATGAGGTACCAGGGAGCATCAGGACCCAGAAAAGGGGTCGATCCAGGGGTCAGAGAACCAGGTAGGGTGAGAATGAGCAGCAATTAGAAGGAATCAAAGGGGAAGTTCTGCATCCTAGACTGGTTTCACAGACAAGGGACTCAGACAGATTGATGGAAGGAGAATAGAGAGAAAATAAATCTTTTAGAAAAAAAGTGATTAGAGGAAATTAGATCATATTAGAGCAGGCTAATTGATCATTTTCACAGCAATTTCATCTTTCTGGGCCAGGTTTCGAGCTGTTTTGTATTGTCTCTTAGTTTTACAAGCATATGCATTCTCTAAGCAGCAGCCAAATTTATAATATTCTTGCATTCAAATGAGTTCATTTGGATAAAATTGGCCTTTTTTCATCCCATCTTTCATCTATATTCTCCTTATGATAGTTGATAGCCATCAACTTGTGTACAGAATTCCCGATTTGGCAAATGGTTGCTTGAATTTCTTTATTTGGAGTCTGTTTTTAACCTTAGAGATACCTCCTTTTTCTCTTTGATCATCCTCATAACTCCCACTACTTCTAGCTTTCACAGATCATAGACTAAGCTTTGTTTTGTTTTGCTTTATGTTTTGTTTTGTTTGCAACCACATGGACAAAAGTGAGCATCATGTGGACATTTAAACTGATATCTGCTGCACTTGCTCTGTCAGTAAGAATTTGGACCACTACTTGCCACCGCTTCTCCTTGGGTAGTCCTTCCAAATCATCCTGTGGTCCCAACATTTGATCTTTGACATATGCTAATGCCATCTTCAGTGACTTAAGAAATAGAGAATTAGTGGCATCACTGAAGCTAGATCCCTACTTCAGGGAGTATGTTAGAATTATAGAAAGACTGAAATTAGTGGGGACATAGAGATCTGCAGCCCTTTTATTTAGTAGATGAAAAGTTGAGGTGCAGAAAAGATGTGATCTGATCAGGGACAGAAAGCCAGTTGGGATGGAATGGAGATTAGAACTTGTTTGATTATCTAAAACACCCATCCTCACACCAATTGTGCTGTGCTTTGTTCAATAGCTTTATAAGATTTATAAATATATGAAAATAGTTGCAATTTCTGTGGCAAAACATAAACATTTGCATAATGTCATTATCCAAAACCAGGGTTGGCCAACTTTTCTGTACAGAGCCAGAGCACAGATATTTTAGGTTTGGCCAGCTACATAGTATCTATCTCAGCTACTCAACTATGCCTTTGTAGATCCAAAGCTATCATAGACAATAAGCAAACAAATGGGCATGACTGGATTACAATTAAACTTTATTTACAAAAGCAAATGGTGGTCAGATTTGGCCTGTGCTTCACAGTTTACTGACCCATGATCTAGAAAATTGTGTTTCTCTCATTTCATCCACGTAGACATAGTCCAATGGTCTATTCTCACTGAACCCAGCTGTATTTGAAACCTGATTTGTGTAACACTATATGTGTACTGTAATAAAATACAATAGATGGGCTGGTGTAAACAATAGAAATTTATTTCTCATAGTTCTAGAGGCTTGGAAGTCCAATATCAAGGTGCTGATCAATTCGGATCCTGCTGAGGGGAGCCAAATTTTTCAGGTTTGCATATGTCTACTTCTTGCTGTGTCCTCACATAGAGAAGAGAGAAAGAGAGAGAGAGGAAGAGAGAAAGATCATGTGTGTGTTCTCAGGGCACTAACCCCATTCATGAGGGTTTCACCCTCACAAATTAATTACTTCCTTGCATCCGAGAATCTGTCTTAGGAGTGGGAAACCTTCAACTTGACTTCACACTTGCCCCTTCCTCTCTTCTGACAGTGCCCAGGAATTTCCCACAGGAGCTGAGGAATTACACAGTGCAAGGCTTCCGTGTTATCGCCCTTGCCCATAAAGCCTTGAAGATGAAGAAGCTTTCAGAAGTGGAGCATTTATCCAGGTAAGGGCCTTGGAAATTGGCACAAGGTCAGATGCTGTGCACATGAAGTGAATGAGTGTGTACTCTGGAGGGGGACAGGGGAACAGCTCAAGTCACTGGGAGGTCTCTTGAAGATAGAGAAGCAATCACATTCAGACTCTGAATCAGAGCTGATCAATTATAGGTGAGGCTGGGTCATGATGCTGGTTGAAATTTCTGACTCATATATGCCAACGTGGTATCTCTGTCCTGCCCTACATCATGTCCACCATGATCTCAGCTCTAATCCCACCAAAAACCACTCAATCCTTTAACATTAGAGCATTCTGTGACTGACTTACTTGGTGTTCCATCTATAGAGACATTGAGAGGAGACAGCACTTTGAAAGATTTTCAGAATCCTGAGATTTGGCTTCTATCAGGTATCAATACTATACCTTCTTAAGAGCTGGGGCAGTACTGAGTGCAAATTGAAGAAATAAAATGTGGTATCCTTAATTACACTAAGAGGATAAATTGTCCTCATGAGAGGATAATGTGTAGATTATTTTTTCACTCAGTATTCCTCAGCTTTTAAAAAAAATCTTTAACATTTTATTATAAAAGTTACCAAATGTACACAAAAGTACAAACAAAATGAACCTCACATCAGATATTTCCATAGCCATTAATTTTTTTCTGCCACATCTGCTTCTTCTATGCGGCCTTTCTGGTTTTTTTTTTTTTTAAGATTTATTTATTTATTTGAAAGGCAGAGTTGCACAGAGAAAGAAGGAAAGACAAAGAGAGAGAGAGGTCTTCCATCTTCTGGTTCACTCCCTAATTGGCTGCAATGGCTGGATCTGTGCTGATCCAAAGTTAGGAGTCAGGAGCTTCTTCCGGGTCTCCCATGTGGGTGCAGGGGCCCAAAGACTTGAGCCATCCTCCACTGCTTTCCCAGGCCATAACAGAGAGCTGAATCAGAAGTGGGGCAGCCGGGAAACGAAATGGCGCCCACATGGGATGCTGGCACTTCAGGTGGTGGCCCCACCTGCTATGCCATAGCTCCAGCCCATCCATTTTTAAAGATTTATTATATTTATTTGAAAGACAGAGTTACAGAGAGAATTAGAGAGAGAGAGAGAGAGACTGAGAGAGGGATCTTCCATCCATTGTTTCACTCCCCAAAAAGCAGCAATATCAGGAGCAGAGCCAATCCAAAGCCACGAGGCAGGAGATTCTTCCAGGTCTCCCAAATGGGGGCAGGGGTCCAAGGATTTGGGTCAGCATCTGTTGCTTTCTGATGTACATTAGCAGGGAGCTGGGTCAGAAGTGGAGCGGCTGGAATTTGAACTGGTGCCCTTATGGGATGCTGAAACTGCAGGCTGGGGCTTTAACCCACTGCACTACAGTGCTCGACCCCTAAGCTATATTATGAGTTCCAATAATCTCTTACTGTAGTCTTTTGTGACCCTGTATGTACAATCATGTCATATGAAAGCAGAGATAATTTGACTTGCTCTTTCCAATTTGTATCCCTTTGATTTCTTTTTCTTGCTAAATTGCTCTTATTAAAACTTCCAGAACTATATTGAACAGCAGTTGTGATATTGGGCATCTTTTATGGTTCTGGATCTTTGTGAAAGGGCTTCCAAAATTTTCTCCATTCAATATGATGCAGGCTGTGGGTTTGTCATAGATTGCCTTGATTGTGTTGAGGAATGTTCTTTCTATATCCAATTTGTGTAAGGTTTTTATCATGAAAGGGTGCTGTATTTTATCAAATGCTTTCTTTTCATCTATTGAGATGATTATATGATTTTTATTCTTCAATTTGTTAATGTTATATATCAAATATATTTATTTGCATATGTTTAATCATCCCTCTTGATCCAAGTGAATCTTTCTGATGTGTTGTTGGATTTGATTAGCTAGTAATTTGTTTATGATTTTTGTATCAATGCTCATCAGGGATATTGAGCATAATTCTCATAATTCTTGTATTTTTTCTGGTTTTGGAGTTAAGATGATGTTGGCCTCCAGAAGGATATTGGGAGAATTCCCTCCATTAAAACTATTTGAATATACTGAGAAGAATTGGAGTTAGCTTTTCTTTAATGGTTTTATAGAATTATCAATAAAGCCATCTGGTTCTTGGCTTTTATTTATTGTTAGAATCTTTGTTATTGACTTAATCTCTGTCTTAGTTATTGGTCAGTTTTAGTTTTCTATGCCTTCCTGACTCAAGGTTGGTAGATTGTGTATGTCCAGGAATCTATTCAATTCTTCTAGGTTTCATGATTTGGTGACAAATAGCTTCTTGTAGTAATTTCTGATGATTCTTCTTATTTCTTTGGTAACCACTATAATACCTCCTTTTTCATCTCTGATTACATTAATCTGGGTCTTATCCCTTTTTTTTTCATTAGTTGGGCCAAAGATGTATCAGTTTTCTTTATCTTTTTAAACAATCGGGTCTTCATTTCACTTAATGTGTTTTATCTTTTGAAACACAATTTTGTTTATTTCTTTTGTAATTTTAATGATTCCTGTCTTCTGACCAATTTTGGGTTTGTTTTTTATTGTTCTTCTAAGTGCTTGAGATCCATTGTTAGATCATTTATTTGATGCTTTTCCAATTTCTTGATGTAGGCACTTATTGCTACAATTTTCTTAACACTGTACTGCTTTTGCTGTGTCCCATAAGTTTTTATGAGCTGTGTTGTCATCTTCATTCATTTCTAGAAATATTTTAATTTTCATTTTGATTACTTCTCTGGCACACTGTTCATTCAAGAGCATATTGTTCAGTCTCCATGTTTGTGCGTATTTTCTAGCGTTACTTTTATTGTTAATTTCCAGATTCTTTTCATTGTGGTCCAAAAAGATACATGGTATGATTTCTTTTTTTAAGCAATTATTTTAATAAAAGGAGAAGAAAGAACAGTAGTATGACAAAGCTTGAGAAACAACAAGATGCTTGCATTTTGTTTTTTGTTTGTTTTTTTAAAAACTTTTATTTAATAAATATAAATTTTGAAAGTACAACTTTTGGATTAGAGTGGTTTTTCCCCCCATAACCATACCCACCCACAAACCATCCCATCTACTACTCACTCTCCCATCCCATTCTTCATTAAGATTCATTTTTAATTATATTTATATACAGAAGATCAACTTAGTATATACTAAGTAGAGATTTCAATAGTTTGCACCCACACAGACACACAAAATATAAAGTACTGTTTGAATACTAGTTTTACCATTAATTCACATTGAACAACACATTAAGGACAGAGATCCTACATGGGGAGTAAGTTCACAGTGACTCCTGTTGTTGATTTAACAATTGACACTCTTATTTAAGGCTTCAGTAATCACCCTAGGCTCTTGTCATGAGTTGCCAAGGCTATGGAAGCCTTTTGAGTTCGCCAACTCCAATCTTATTTAGACAAGGCCATAGTCAAAGTAGAAGTTCTCTCCTCCCTTCAGAGAAAGGTGTCTCCTTCTTTGATGGCCCATTCTTTCTGCTGGGATCTCACTCACAGAGATCTTTCATTTAGGTAATTTTTTTTTTGCCACAATGTCATGGGAATTTTAGCCAAATCCATATGCCTTAAGGGCTTATTCTGAGGCCAGAGTGCTGTTTAGGGCATCTGCCATTCTATGAGTCTGTTGTGTATCCCATTTCCCATGTTGAATCGTTCTCTCCTTTTTAATTATATCAGTTATTTTTAGCAGACGCTGTTCTTGTTTATGTGATCCATTTGACACTTAATCCTATCTTTATGATCAATTATGAACTTAACCTGATCACTTTGACTAGTAAGATGGCATTGGCACATGCCAACTTAATGGGATTTGGAATCCTATGGTACATTTCTTGTTTTACCATTAGGGGTAAGTCCGAGTGAGCATGTGCTGAACTGTACGTCTCCTCCCTTTCTTATTCCCACTCTTATTTTTATCAGGGATCACTTTTCAGTTAAATTTAAAAACCTAAAAATAATTGTGTGCTAATTAACGAGTTCAACCAAGGGTATCAAGTAAAACAAGAAAATATCAAAAGGATAAAATAATAAGCTGCTCTTTGACAGTCAGGACAAGGGCTGATCAAGTCATTATTTCTCATAGTGTCAGTTTCACTTCTACAGGTTTCCTTTTAGGTGCTCAGTTAGTTGTCACAAATCAGGGGGAACATTTGGGACTGGCTTATTTCACTCAGATTCCTCCATTTTTTTTTTGCAAATGAATTGACTTCATTTTTTTTGTACCACTGTATAGTATTCTATAAACTACATATCCCATAATTTCTTTATCCAGTCTTCTGTTGATGGGCATTCCATGCCTTATCTATTGTGAATTGAGCTGCAATAAACATTGAGGTGCAGATAGTTCTTTTATTTGCCAATTTAATTTCTCTTGGGTAAATTCGAGGAGTGGGGTGGCTGGATAAAGTGGTAGGGCTATATTCATGTTTCTGAGGAATCTCCAAACTGTCTTCCATAATGGCTTTACCAGTTTGCATTCCCACCAACAGTGCATTAGTGTGCTTTTCCCCCCATATCCTCGCCAGCATTTGTATCCCTTTAATTTCTTTTTCTTGCCTAATGGCTCTGGCTAAAACTTCCAGTACTATATTGAATAGCAATGGAGAGAGTGGACATCCCTGTCTGGTATCAGATCTCAGTGGAAATGCTTCCAACTTTTCTCCATTCAATAGGATGCTGGCCATGGTTTTTTTATAAATTGCCTTAATTGTGTTGAGGAATGTTCCTGCTATACCCAATTTGCTTAGAGTTTTCATCATGAATGGTGTTGTATTTTATCAAATGCTTTCTCTGCATCTATTGAGGTAATCATATGGATTTTCTTCTGCAGTTTGTTAATGTGGTGTATCATATTGATTGATTTGCAAGTGTTGAACCATCCCTGCATAGCAGGGATAAATCCTACGCGGTCTGGGTGGATGATTTTTCTGATGTGTTGTTGAATTCTATTGGCTAGAATTTTATTGAGGATTTTTGGGTCTATATTCATCA